GAGTGCTCCAGGGTCTACCATCGAATGGAATTGATCTCTACGGATCCTGCATGAGTCAGCTTATATCTGGCAACGGGGAAATGTATTTTCTGGTAAACCCACCAGACAAGCGGGGAACACAGTGATGGTAGGAGCATAGGCAACTCTACCCGGTGCATCAGGTAAACCCACCGCGCTGCGGGGACTTTCTCTTCCCAACCCCAGCCCCAACTCACAAAATCGGCGAAAACTGTACAATCACCCCAGAAAAAAGCGCAGAATTTGGCAAGGTAATTCAGAAGTTCTGGAAGCTGAAACCAACCCATGGAATCCCAGAGGACCCCTGGACAAATCCGTGGGCACCAGCCTGCAGGCCCCTACACAGAGAGCGAAGTTCAATGCCAATAAAATGTCACAGCTCAAGGAGAGGGACACAGCAAAGCAGATGCACACCCTGCGGGGGGCTCCTCTGGGGATGGCGCCTTCTGTGGGCGGCTCCCACGGGGCTGAAGATGGTGGCCACACGGGCTCCTGCAGTCTGGTTGCTAGGCAGTGACACCCACACTCTGTCTTCAGCGCTGAACCACAGACCAAATTTTCCAATGCTGATCTCAGAGCTCAGTCGCTCACACACCAGAAAAGTCACATGGCTATGGGCGGAGCAAAGAATTCCTACTTAGCGTCTCAAAATAATTGAAGGATGACAAATGCCAGAGACTCAGAAGGAACAAAAGCACTGTGGGTGAATCTGAAGCCCTTCTCTAAAAACTCGGAGACCACCGAGACAGCACAGCTGATTGTGACTCGTGGAGGGGACACGGTTTTATGTGCATGAGTAGAGCACAACTCGCTGGCTGCAGGCTGGTGGGAATGAGATCAATATTATGGATCAGAGGCACACAGAGCAGCTCCTTGTCTGACTGCAACAACAGACGGGCCCTCACTGCTGGGTGCGTGTGGATGGGGCAGGACGGGCCTTCCCCAGTGTTGAACATGCCAGCGAACGGACTGGTCCCTGTTTCCCTGACCGGAAGCCCAAAAACGCCCCAGGAAGTCTGGCTTGAGTTCAGTCTTCCAACACACACAGAATTAGCACATTTTAATTTGTTAATTTTTTTTTTTTTTTAATCTGGAAGGCATTTAAAAGGCCATGGACTCCACACCCATTGTCTCGGAGCTTACAGCTAAAACTCAGTTCCCCTCCAAGGACAGGGAGACCAAGACACGGGGGTCTGCACAGCTAAGGGGCAGCACCAAGCCGGGAACGAAACAAATACCTGCTCCCACAGAGGTCCGGGTGCTGGGAACCCCCCCCCGACCTGCAGACTCGAAGCCCACTGGCCTCCCTGCTCTCAGCAGTGTCTGTCCATTCGGCGCTGCCAAGGTAATGCCCACTGTACACTCAGAGCGAACTGTATCATATGGGAATATAGCAGGGAAGCCCCCTATAAAAACTCTTCAACAAGTAACACGTCCGACACGGAGCTGAGATTAGTGAGTGACAGGTTCAGGAAACGCGCACACAAGGATGGGCCCAACAACAGACTGATGCTCTGCAAAGCGCCCCTCCCAGGACTCCGGGGCCGAGAACACGGCTTCCTGGAGGCCTTCTCATCTGGAAAGCTGCATCCGGACAACTCCCGGACAATTCCCAATCCAACCCTTTCATGGTCACAATCTGTTAATGAGGGAAGACCCCCCCCACGGACGAACAGCACATTAATTCTCTCTCCTGGAGAAGCCAGCATTATCTGCACATGACCAGTCACCTTCATCCCGCTCATTATTCCAAGAAACAGGCAGTTTACAGAGTAGCCAGCAGCTCTGTGGTCCCGCTCTGAACCTACACTCTGCTGTCCCGGCATCCAAGCACGCGTGTAACTGAAGCCATAAGAGGAAGACAATCTGCCAAGCAGCGTCTCAGGTTCTAGGGTCCACACGGCACCACCCTGCCCAGTCCGAGAGCCCTTCCTTCCAGATGCTGCGATCCCACCTGCTGCAGAGCCAGCACGAGCATTTTACTAGGGCCTTATGCCATCACAGGACAGCCTGGAAGCCTCTTCCAGCTCCTACTTCTGTGGACGGAACTGGACCCTGAGAACAGACAGTGGTCAGTCGTCCGGATTCTGGAGGGACTGCCACAGGCTGGGAAGGTTCCAGTCACAAGAACTCTTGACTCCCCGGACACACAAACCCCTCATTGTGCTCCAGGCAGGTGTCAGACGCAGATCAGCTGAAGGGATCAATCAACCAGCTGACGCACGTCCTCCCACACCCTCTATCTGCTGAAACCCCACTCCTTCTCTAAAACCGAGCGTAAGCGGTGTCTCTCTGAGAAAATTGACCTTTTTTGATCTCCCCAAATATTCTGCGCCCTGGTTTCTGTTAAGGAATGTATCACCGTGCGTCACACCCGTGTTCCTGCATCCGTCTCCTTGGGCTTCCAAAGGCACCGTCTACCCCTTACTCATTTGGGGGTTACCAGGACATGGCGCTCGGTTTAGAACAGGCCTTCAATAAACAGGTAGGTAGAAAGACACAGTTTAATTAAAAATTTAACAGTGGTTGGTGATTCCGATTTTCCTTTTCATTTGCTCAACAAACACTCATTGGGCACCCACTGCAGGCCCCGTCACAGAGCCGGAAGGGAAACAATGAGGGGTTAACAAATTGTAGATGAAGTCCCCCACATGCTTATCAGTTACCAGTACCTTGGTTTCTTAAAATAAAGGCACTGTACTAACAGACCATTCTGAAAGAGGGTGCACGCCACCCCCAAGGGCCGTAGCACATGAAGTGACACGGATTACGCCCACCCACAAAACGGAGAACAAATGTCTATGGGTGGCAGACAGGTCTGTCAATTAAATTCTCTCTTTAGGACAGTGTGCAAAAAAGATTCTCCCCAAACAACTGCTTGCACCGAGGTTATGTGTGTGCTTTTTCAAAGGGACATGAAAAGGTCACAGCAAGTCTGCAGAACACAATCGTCTATGTTTCCAAGTATTTTCCAAAGTCTCTTGAACTTTGGATACATCAACAAACTTCTCCTTAAATTGAGGAATGAAGAAAACCGGGTACTCTCCAAAGTGCCACATTTTCTTCTCCCTGACAATGACAACTATGTCCCTGCCGTCACGGATGGAAGCTCACAGGAATGCCTACAGCGCCTATCTCCTTTCTTCCACGGACAGTCGACCCTTGAACAACTTGGCTTTAACGTGTGCGGGTCCACTTCTACACAAGTTTCTTTGATAAATACAGAGCAGTACCATAAATGTGTTTTCTCTTACCATTTTCTTAATGACGTTTTGCGTCCTCTCGCTTACTTTATTGTTGGAACACGGTATAGGATTCATATAGCACACAAAGTGTGTGCTAGCCAACTGTTGATGTTATTGGTAGGTTTTTAATAGAAAAGGTTTTGGAGAGTCAAATTACATATGAGGATTTTCAACGTACAGGGGGTTGGTGCCCCTAACCCCCATGTTCTTTAAGGGTTGACTATATTTTAAAAATTGAGTCTTCCTCCTACATGCTTTTTAATATTGCTAACCGATTCGAATCCTATTCTAAGTTAGCGCAACAGAGTCATAAATAAAAAGATGAGTAAGAAACTGTAGTGCTTCCTTAATATGCAGTATCTGTTTCTACAGATCGAAGCTGTCCCTGATGACTTGAGCACAAGGAGGCAATCTTAATTACAAATACATTTTAACATTGCTACCATTATAAACACACAAAGGCATGATTTCGTTCATAAAACCAAGACACATGTTGGATTTGCAACCAATACTGACAAGCAATTTAAATGGGCTTTCACAAACTTTTAACAAATGAGATACCCAAGCTGAACTTGAGTAAGATCTTACCAACATGCATCAGTTTGGAAGAACCCTCCCCTTCCCTCCCCACATCACTCCTCAGTATATCCCCACTGTGGAAAATCTGTGACACAGTCTGGTATATTTTGATTATTTGCTGAGACTGTCTGCAATTCCTTTAAGAAGGACTTAGCAGTTAGTGATTCAGGACTGTAGGACCTGTAATACCGTGCCTGAGGACGTGGTCTACCAGGCCGATTACCCAACCAAGTGACCGACTATTAACGTTACACAAATAAGAACAATGGGAGACCTCATAAAGCTCATCAGGCCCTGTTCCTGTGAGTCCGAGCAAACGTGCATATGCAGCCAGAAAAGTTACAGGGTTTAAAGGTACCTTCTTCTGAACATGTCGGAAGCAAAATAATCTGAAAGGTTGTCCAATGTATTTACATCATGAATATTTAATATAAAGGCTCATTCCATGTATGAAAAGTTTACTGCAAGTCCCCATTCACTCTATTTGGTGTGTTCCACAACTGGGGCAGAGGCTGGTGAGTAAGTGAAAACTAGCCAGGCTTTATTTGGATTAAAAAAGAGAAATGGAAGGAGAAAGTCATGAATACTATACTACGTTCAAAATCTACAGTCCAAAGACCATAAATATTACCCAGCTGTTGAAGCACTGCCAAAGTATCAGGACACCCTTGGCTCATCTTGGCTCATCAGGACCTGGCACCCCCTCCCTGGGGAGCCTGGGGGCGGAGAGAGAGGAGGGGTTGCATGAGGTGGTGCACAGCAGAGCAGAGCCTACCACCGAGGTCCACATGCTAGAGGACTTCCATGCATGCTCAGGAGACAGGAGACAGAGCCCTCACTGGGGGAGGGCTCTGAACTGGGAAATGCAGAAGAGAAATCAGACCTGGGGAGACTGAATGCATCCTATATGGTGGGGTTCTCTGTAAACCCAAAGGATGCACACCAGTGGGGACAAGCTCAAAGATGAGGGTCCAGTGGGCTTATCTGTCTACATTTATCAGCCAACATAAAATACAGGCTCCAGAGATGGTATCGTTCAACAGCCTGACCATCTCCGTGGGTCCTTGGATGCTGCGGAGGCCGAGGAAACAGGGCCTATTCAGTCAGCACTGACGCCGGCCCCAAGACGCACACGCACATTAGTAAAGTGTCACTTACTTGGCTTAGCGTTGGCAACCACCGCCAGGCTCTCGGGTGAGTGCACAGGGGGACACCTGTTTTCTCCAGCACCATCATTATTGCCATACTCTATTACTTCCACGTGTCCAAGAGGAACGCTCCACTTTAATAAATACCTTTGGCTGGTTGACATTATCGTGTTGCTGTCCGAGGTGCTGAAAGGAGGAGGCACCAGGATGTTATGATTCATTACAGGTGTAAGTCAGGATACTTTTCAGCCCTTAGATATTCAAGTGAGAAACACATCCTGCTTCTGCCTTTCTTACAAACAGCTACCATTTGGTTCTGTAAAGTGGCCTCCCAATGGATGGTAGGAACTCTTCACTGCCTAATCGTGGAAGACGGGAGAACACAGAACGCTTATCTCCCAGAAAACTCTCTTGTTCCCATAAAAGCTTAAAGGGAACATGCTGGAGGCCCCCTGATGGATACTGGAGCCAAGATACTCATGTGTTCTGGCAAATACTGTTAACAGGGAAAATCTCCTATGTGCAGAGATATTCTCTGGTCATTTCCTATCAAAGTTCCTTCTTTACTCTCAGTGATACTGTAACCATTTTAATAAAATTAAATCCTGTCATTATGCTCCACAATTAAGATACTTACTGTGTAAAAATTAAACGAAAAAATCCTATGACCTATGTAGATTTTTTTCTCCTTTTACCATAAAATGGGGCATACATGAAGAGACACACACAAAGCATGACTGTCCAGATAGGCAGAAAATGCTAGAGCAGACACCTCCTTGGCCAGCACTCAGTCAAGGCTACAAGGCTACCAGCAGCCTGAGGCCCTCCATGTGCCAGGAACCCCCCCTTAAGACAATCACTGTTCCTCACTCTGGTGATTGTATCACAGTTCGCTTTCTTCAAGATATACATATATTTTCCAATCAAAATGTAGACAGAAATAACCAAAATGCCAGACACTATACTTTAAACTGAAATACTTGGCATGTTGGGAGCCAACTGGTACCCAAGTGCCCCGACTTCCTTCTGATGCTAGAGGGCTTTGCTTTTCAATGTCTAGTCTGCGTTGGAAGGGGAAGGAGGAGAAGGCAGAACTCAGACACTGAGTAAGAAAGACTGCATGTTCTGTGAGTTACGTGTGCTCTCTATACAAAAACACAGAAGCCCATGAACCTGGCCCCAATTTCTACTCATCCTGTTGGAATCTAAAATCCTCACTCCTATAGAGGTTTGGGGGACCTTGCTGTTCTGATAACCCTTGGGGCCATTTGAACATTTCAGCCTGACCAAAGTGGGTCGTCCCTTCACTGCCTCCTGGGGGGTGTCCCTTGAGAACACGTCAGTGGGAACTGCGCTGTTTCCCTTTCCTTACTTTCTGGAAGGTCGTCTGAACCTGGGATCCCTGCCACAGCCCGGGTGTTATTTTAAGGAACAGCCCTGGTAGTGAACACAGATAAATCCATTTTTAAGTGTTCATCCACTTCTTGTTCATCTCGGAAGTTTATTTGTCAGCTTGAGGTTTTTAAAACGACATAAAATTTCAAAAGACCCAAACTGACGGAGGAGCATTTGGGGCGCCTGGGGGTAGCTCAGTTGCTTAAGCGTCTGACTCCTGATTTTGGCTCAGGTCATATTGGGGTTGTGAGACCGAGCCCCACATCAGGCTCTGCGCTGAGCCCAGAGTACCCTTGAGATTCTCTCTCTCCCTCTGCCCCCCCCACTCATGCTTTCTCCTCTCTCATCGAATCTTTTAAAAAAGTTGGCATATTTTGCAGACTTCTTCTGTAGCTGCCTCAAAGCAAGTGAGGACGAGGAGGAACCATAATAAAAATGGATAGTCACCAGGCAGCAGTGTGCCGGGTGCGGAGCGGAAGGGCCTGACCGTGGTCCCTGGCCAGAGCCTCCCGGGAGTCCCAGGGATGGCTGGTTTCCCCACCACCACTCTGCAGAGCGTGGGCGTGAGGCTCGGCGAGATGGGGTGATTCCCCGGAGCTCTGAGAAGGCTGGAACCCGGGCTGCGCGGCGTGAGCCCCTGGATGCCCACCCTCACCCCCGGCCTCCCTCCTGGGGCTCCTCAGCACCACAGGGCAGTCGCCACAGAAGGACCACAGGCACACGTGCTGGCTCCCATCCGGTGGTGTGCTTGTGAAGGTCTAACACCCAGCCTCTGCCAGGAGAGGGAGCCCTGCCTGTCTCACGGGCCAGTGTCTGTGCTGTCAACACCTGGAATGGATGAGTTCGAGCGGCCAGTGGTTGGCAACTGCATCCTAAACTCCGGAGAGTTTAACAACGGAGCCTCTCAAGCCATGATGAGCTGCTCAGGACACCACGTCAGCATGCACTACTTGATAAAGCACCCAGGGCGTTCAGCTCAAAACATTCACGTCTACCTCGGTTCCCTTACCATCCCTCTCTACCTGAAGACCCTAACTTCTCAAATATCCATCCAGCTACAACATTCTAGGTGTTAGGGAGCAGTCCTGATGGTAAATGACTTTAAGGATAAGAAATGAGGAAGTGGTACGTACTCATTTTCTTGGTTCACAGTGAATATAAACACCACCGACATAATCATAGAAGAAAAACACTTACCAAAAATGTCTCCACAGAGAGGCAGCTAAAGAGAAAGGGTCTGAACAATGATCACAACAAGACTGTAGAGTGATTTAGGAGGGAAATAAAAGAAACACAATGCAGTTTCTGGTTCCAACATTGGCCTTACGTTAAAAGAAAAATATACCATTCGTCCTGAATTTCCTCCAGCAGTGACCTTGTGACTTAACACTGGACCCATTTAAAAATACACTAGTCTAGTGGCACGTGCGTGGCTCAGTCAGTTAAGCGTCTGCCTTCGGCTCAGGTCATGATCCCAGGGTCCTGGGATCGAGCCCCGCGTGGGGCTCCCTGCTCGGTGGGAAGCCTGCTTCTCCCACCCCCTCTGCTGCTGCCCCTGCTCGTGTTCTCCCTCTCAAATAAAATCGTTCTAAAAATAATAAATTAAAATTAAAAAATAAAATAAAAATATGCCTGTCTAGGTCCTGGTTCCCCTTCATCACAGGATGAGGTGACGAAGTTCTGCGCACATATAGAGGCAGCTCGAGTGGGAGCATTATTGGAGCTGTCCACTCAACTGGGACGCGGCACGTTCCCAGGCACAAAGCTGATCCCGCGAACTAGGCGCATGCTCACCGTGCACTGACCGTGGCACACATTAACACATCACTCAGCATGAAGATGCGGCGCTCCTTGGTTTTAATGATCTCTCCTCTGTCGTTGTAAACGGTTTCTATCATATCGTCAGATCGCACGAGGTACCGATTCCCACTGCTGAGAAGCTGAACATTCAAAGTCACACTTGACATGCTTCCCGCAATCGAGTTCATCAAAAGAAGAAAAAGGGTGAGCGAAAGTCTTGCAAAATACAGGAGCATAAAGTGTCAAAGCTTTGCAGATTTTCCCCTTTACAGAGAATTCATGCACTTCCAATTGTACTTCTTGTGTATACTATGTAGAATTCTCAGAGTGGCTTTTTTTTTTTTTTAACTACATAGTTTCACGGACAGTGTTTGGAGTTATCCTAAACAGTGAAAGGAGTCTAACCCAGCCCTTGTAAACACAATTCCTCCAGCTGAGAGATACTGACTCAGCAAAGGAGGGCTCATTTGTTTTCACCTGTCAGTCATATTCCTTCTCTTTAAATGACTTGCCTGAGTACAAGCTCCATTCCTTACAGACTCTCATCCACAGCCGGCCAACCATTGTTATTTATAAGTCTATGCCGACCAGGAATGTTTTATTTAAGTGCAAGAGCTACTCGGGGATTTTTGTTTTCCCAAAGGATAGCATAATTAAGAAAACATCTTAGCTTCTTGTGATATGCCATATTTCATTTCACTGAGCTAAACACAGTACCCTTGGTCCTTTACAGAGATGCTTTGTACTCCTTAGTGTGACGAGATAAGTCATATAGAAGTCAGACTCATGACAATTCAGCCCAAAGGAACATGGGGAATTCATGTTCAGATGGTCCGGACACCCAGATGGTGTTCTGATCCTTTATCTACAGTAGCCAAGTTCACTGTCAACCTATTCTTGACGTGCTCACGGGGTTGATGAGGCTGTGTGCACAGGTTCGGGATCGCTAGCGAGGAACACACACCACTTCCTTATCGGCCTTACTCTGTCCCCACAGGTTTGCAAGCACTGTTACCACAGGCAAGCAGGATCCTAAACAACATAACCATCACTTAATGCAATTTTCAGCTCATAGAAATTCCTATATAAATCATTTAGAAAATCAGGAAAAACCCGTTCCTCAAAATGTATTACAGTTCTTGTAGCTAAGCCACTGACTGTCACTGTCTGGTAGGAAATTAACCCTACAGACAGAAATGAAAGTGATTTTAGCAACGAAAAATACGGTATGAAATTATTTAACACCGCTCCTATCAATGAACCTCTTCCTGTGGACCAGAGCCATAAGTAAGTATGGTGAAGTCTACATAAAATCAGCTTGCTGTTGCAAGAAAAGGACTTGTCAATGTAAAGCAGAATTACAGCCTAAGAACTGCTTTCATGCCGTATTTTTCTCACGTTTCCATGATAAACACAGTTTAGTCCATACATAGACAGGTGCAGATAAGAACGTATGTAACAACTGAGGGCTGCTGGAGTGGTGGGGGGTGGGAGGGGTGGGGTGGCTGGGTGATAGACATTGGGGAGGGTATGTGCTACGGTGAGCGCTGTGAATTGTGTAAGACTGTTGAATCACAGATCTGTACTTCTAAACAAATAACGCAACATATTTTAAGAAAAAAAAAAAGAAAAAGAAGAAGATAGCAGGAGAGGAAGAATGAAGGGGAGTAAGTCGGAGGGGGAGACGAACCATGAGAGATGATGGACTCTGAGAAACAAACTGAGGGTTCTAGAGGGGAGGGGGGTGGGGGGATGGGTTGCCCTGGTGATGGGTATTAAAGAGGGCACTTTCTGCATGGAGCACTGGGTGTTATGAACAAACAATGAATCATGGAACACTACACCAAAACAAATTATGTAATATATGGTGATTAACATAACAATAAAAAATTAAAAAAAAAAGAACGTATGTAACATCCTCTGCTTTGATTACGACCATCTAAGAGGAAACACTGCATTTTGGCAGTAAGATTCAGACCGTGCGAGGGTCTCGTGACTGTGGGAGCCCCTTCCCCAAGAAAACGTGCCCAGACCCGCCCGACGCTCTCCATCGACTTCCGAGGCAGGGCCCTGGGCCGCGGCATCACTGCAAAGCTTCCAGAAGATTAATAGCAAGTGGCGGGAAGAATGGCGGCTTGTTAGTACAAAGCAAACTGAATCCCAGCACAGACTGAGAAGCCTCGGTCAACCTTGTTCAGGTATCTCTCGTTAATGGCTTTGGCGACGTGCTTGATCTCACAGCGCTGGTCAGCGTCTCTCTTTCTCTCATTCAGCTTCTCCGCTAAGGTTTCCAGCTCCGTCAGTGCCATCTGAAGGGGCAGCCGGTCAGGGTGGCCTTTGGATGTATTCTTCAGCATGTCCTGGGGGAGAAAGATGGTGAAAAGGAGACGTGTGACTGCTGGTTGCGAGGGAGCAGGTGGCTGCCCACGCACGCTCCCAGCCAGGAGCCGCAACGTCTGGCGGCTGCATCAGCTACTTCTGGCGGAGGATAATAAGCCAAGTCACTCACGGTCTGGATACACACTGGAACAGCTCCTCTTGCAAAAACAAAATGAACTTACTAAACAGCTTGCTAATGGAAAAAAACAGCAATTCCCAATAAAGGGCACTATAAATACGAACGTGCCACATCTGGGAAACATCCCGCCCTCTGTGGCTACGTTCAGGTAACTCCCAGCCCGTCTCTCTCAACCCGAGTTGCACCAGTGGACCCAGGCCCCAAAGGTCGGCTTCCAAACGCAAAGTGGGCGGCATTACTCCTGTGCCTTCACCCCGCCCCCGGGGGCATCCCACCCCTGCTGGAAAGGGGCCACACACCCTCCCGTCCACGTCGGCAGGGTCACCAAGGGAAGAGGAGGTTGCACGGAGGACGAGGGAGCGACAATCTGGTGACCGATAAAACGGCACCACGTGCATCCATCGCGGGAGTCGGCGTGCACGAGCGACATCTAAGTGACAGTCCCGAGGGGGTCACCTTGCTTTTCCACCGGACCCTTAGTGTGGTCCAGCTGGCTCACGCAGAGCACACCCACTTCCGCTGATGGAGGCAGATGCGGGCGGAAGCACCCTTCTCGCCTGGCCCCCAGAAGCTGACGCCCGCTCAGCCGGCGCGGGAACGCCACCGGGCCCTCAGCTTGTGACCTGCTTTTCATCTGAAGAAACACAACCCTCCAGAAGTGATGACATATTTCCGATCTGAACGGACCATATACACCGTGCTGTACGCCCGTTTCCCTACGAATCACTTCAAATCCTATCAAGGCCACGAAGTCATGTCACAAGGATTCTGGCTCCAAAGTCACGAGCTGGCAAAGCCGGCCTGGGACCTGAGCACGATCAGGACAAGCACCATACCAGGGGAGCCGTGGAGTGGGGCGGGGGGCGTCCTCCAGATCCTGGAAGAGAACCGAGTAAGGAAAAAGGGACGTCTGTCTTTCTGTCCAGACTGAGAGTCATGTTGGTCCAACACGGGACAGAAAATGGCAGCAGGATACAGTGAGACAGAGATTCCTACGGGACCACGTGTCCCAAACCAGCAGGCCTGGCAAAGCCGGGGCCATGCAGCTCTACCAGGGATCAGGGAAGGCTGTGGGGTCCCAGCACCACCAGTAACAGGGCCCAGAAGAGCTGGGATCAGTGCAGAGACAGGGAGAGCAGGTGCCTGATGGGCCAAAGGAAGGGGAAGGAAGTACACCGGTCCCCATGCCATCCCTCCCCACGTGCGCGGAGCAGACCTCGGGAGGGAGGGAACACGCCTGCCCCGTCTTCCAGCCTGGCCACCAGCCCCCGAGTCCCCCTCAGGCAGCAGCTCCCAGGAGCATCTTTACTGGGAGCAGGGTCCCTGGACAACCCAGGCAATTCTCTCAGCTGCACACACTGCACCCTCTCCTCTGAGTCCAAACGTGCATGTTCCTAAGTGCCCCGGACGCGCCCTGAGCCGCCCCCTCGCCTGCCAGGGAAGCTGCTCACACAAATCCGGGAGCTCTCTGATGAGTCTCCTGGTGCCCAGGTAGACAGGGAGGGAGGAAGGGAGAAAGAACTACACAGGGACTGACCTCACCAAGCCCACGGGAAACCAGGTGCAACAGCACACGCCACAACATTCTCAGGTGTTCTTAGACCAAAATCAGAGAAATGTCACCCAGGACCACGTCCCTGCTCTCAGACACCACGAGGCTCGCAGCCTTTCCTCCGATGCTTTTGCTCTCTTTCCCACGGCCTTCCCACCCTTTCTAAAAATATATATTTTGGTAAACACCTGGGCCAAAGGTTTGCCATGATTTATTAACAGTTAGCCAAAGGCTGACGAGCTAGATTGAAAACTACATCCAACTTTAACTAAGAACAAAAAACTACTCACAAGTGAGGCATGAAAACCCAACAGGGTCGTGGGTGACCAGTGATAACCAGGCATTTACTAGCACGGCACCAAGCACAGTCTGCATGTGAGTTTGAACGTGCGCCACATGGATTATAAGGTGGTTATGTCTTTGCCCTTGGTCCCTGTGTCTCCATCTCGCTAAAGAAGGAACTAACTGGTTCCCTACCGTCTTTCTTCCTCACCGAACTGCCCGCCTGGAGCCTCCCATGTTTGAAGAGCTCAGTAAATACCGGACAACTGGAGGAATAAAACACATTTTCTGGATATTTGGATTTTAGGGGTAGGCAAACAGCTTCTGTTATTAACACTCTAACACAGATGTTGGAAACCGGAAACTGGATCTAATATGTACATATGGTAACCAGACACTCACTGGAAAAGGTATGTGGAAAAGGGAGGAAGACAGAAACAGCCTATGAGACTAGCCATGGAAGTAGCTGATGCTAACAGCCTGATGTGTGTATCCTTTCGCTCTCAGTCTTGTGAGCACTTTACTTGGCAGGTACGTTTCTCACAGATTTGGGTGGCCTCAATAGCAGCCACAACCTCAGGGGAAGGGGCCTCGGCAACGTTGCCACGTGCAGGTCCATTTCCAGGGATGATGTGGCCTTCACCTTTGCTGCGTTCCCACATGCAAGCCACGCCGAGCCACCTGAGGAATCTGAGCCGGCGTGGACTGACCTCAGAAATGCCACTTCGGACAGCCCGCCATCCGCCTCCATGCAGCGGGGCCCCCGGCTTTGGGGAGGATGAGGCCTGCGCACAGACCGAACATCACATGGAATGTGTTGCATCTGCCCTCAAAACCAGGTTTGTCGGAAACAACACATGCACCAATTTGAATATTCTTAGTTTTCAACCACTTGGGGTCCACGGGTGAGCCTCTCCACCAGGGTGTCTCCGCTCCACGCACCATCTGCAGACCGCGCTCACGGCAGGCATGGTCTGCCTGAATTGTGACTTGGGCTCCTGAGCCCCCCGTCCGCTCTGACCACAGAGGGTGGATCGTTTTTCCACCAGACCCTAGACCCAGACCCTGACCTAGACCCCGCCCCAGAAGGAGGCAGATTCCTTTCTGTCCCCGGGGAACCCGCATCCGGGCCCCTTCCGCCCCTGCAGGAGCCAGCTGGTGAGGGTCCACGGCCATGTCCGTGCTCGGGGCCCCCAACCCCCGACTCTGCCCCCCATAACTGCTCGGGGAAGGAGGACAGAGGAGGCCGGAGACAGAACCAGGAGCACAGACATGGCTTTCAAGCAGATGCTGGGAAAGGTGTGCATCCTTACCTGGAGCAGCAGAATGAACTGTGGGAACCTCTGTATGGGCTTCATCATCAGACTGTAGAGCGTGACGCGGTCGGGGCTGGACTCCTGGCACTGCTGTGGGGAGAAGCCCGGCTTACTCGCGCTTCGGGGAGGCGGGGGGCCCCCACCTCGGTCCTCCCACCATAACACAGACGCCTCGGCAGGGGGCGGCCTGGAGCCCATGCCCATCTTCACTCAACGGAGACCGTGCATGCAGATTTGCTACAAAATCCTCCCCACACCTGGATCACACCACACACGTGCTTGCGCCTCTCAGGTCCAGAGCACATTTGCATTCGATGCTTGACAGGCCACCTCTGACCGCGAGGCAGGGTTCATCCATTTACAAACGCATTTCAACCTTCTAGGGACTGAGCTAGGTTCTGAGATTCTACAACCAGTTGAAAACTGCATTTACAAAAAAATAAAGAGGCGCCTGGGTGGCTCAGCTGTTGAAGTGACTGCCTTGGCTCAGGTCATGATCTCAGGGTACTGGGATTGAGCCCCGCACCGGGCTCCCTGCTCGGCGGAGAGTCTGCTTCTCCCTCTCCCTCTGCCGCTCCCCCTGCTTGTGCTCTCTCTCTCACTTACTCTCTCTCAAATAAATAAAATCTTTAAAAGAAGAGAGAAAAATACCCCAGAACCCCAAATAGGAGTTGCCAGGGCCCTTAAAAAGCAGCTTGGTCCATGCACTGGGGTGAGTTTTTGTGGCAGCCACTGCCGTCCAGGCTTGGCTCTGGGGGCAAGCAAGGGTCTTGGGGTGGGGTGGGGGTGACCTGGGCTTGCATCCTATGTGAGCTGCCCCAGGAGCAGCCACGGCCGAGGACGTCTGGTCTGAGAGCGGCTCTCCCACGTGGCAGGGGCTGCCTAGTCCCTCGATGCGCCTCTCTGAGCCGGGGAGGGACGCTCCAGTAGGCGGGACCCCTGCACACCAGGGTGGGGTCTCCAGCTAAGGGAGCGGTGTGGTCGGATGGCAGGGTGAGGGCCCAGTGCCACCACCACCAAGGCGGCTCAGCCTCCTGACAGCAGTCCCCAGGCTAGGCCAGGATGACACATGTCCTTGTCCCCAGGCCGCCTGGCAGGGGGTCACCTGACGGTGGGGGCTGCGCCCGGCCCCTCGGCTGACATCTCAGGTACCGTCAGTGTCTGCCAAGACAGTTACAACCTCCTCCAAGGCAGGGAACGTCTGAACGTGTCTCCGTCCCCCAGGAGCCGCGCTGTGATATGGAAAGACCACCGAGCACCGAGACCCCCGAAACTGAGGGCTGGTGACCAGGGAAGGGGTGGGGGAGAATTCAGCCTCAGTGTAATGGGCCAGTGAGAACGTCACCTGAGTCCAGTCGCTGCAGGTAGCAGGAGCTTTGAGAATTTAAGTAACAGGGACAAACTCTGGCTCAAGGTTTTATGACAGGAACTGGGGCCTCGTGCAAGTGAGGTCTGGGGTCGGTGGCTGGCCACGGTGAGGGACCGTGGGCTAAACATCCCAGGGCAACAACTCGCATTGTCAACGTCAGACGCACCTCACCTCTCACCCTTGGCCCACGGAGGGCTCGTCCTTCAGCAATCAGCTTATTGCTGTGACTCGAATGGGGCCGGAGAGCTCCACCCCAATCCCAAACGTTCTGTCTGTTGCCCCTAGTGCCGTGCTGAAGGACAGGAAGCCAAGCCAAAGGCAGCTTCCTCTGGGATCGGACCTGACCTTTCGGCCTGCCCATCCATCCACACCCTTCCAAGGATGTGCAAATAAAGGTTATTTTCAAAAAGCTCTGCCACCTCTGAAAACTCATCTTCCTTTCTAGCCCTGACCCAACACGTCGGCACAATATCTTTATGACAAATAACATGACATGCGTAGAGGCAAAATGTGGTAAGATTCCACTATAAAGTATCTGGACACAGAACCTGTTATCAGAGGGTATGAAAACCCAGAATGAAAAAAAAAAAGTGCTTACCTTTAAAAACTCGAGAAATGCAGGCTTTGTAGCACACGTTTTCTTGAGGATTGCCACCGCTGTGCTGAAATTATTCACATACTCGCTATAGGCGTCGAGCACCATGGATTTGGAAAACTAAAACAACAGAGAACATTAAGAACTATCAGCAGTGCACAGAGCCCAGGGCCTCCCTCCTCCAGGACATGATAAAAGATCCGAAACCTGCCCTAAAAGTAACCTGTCAGTCACTGTGATGTTTCCACAGGACACACTTCATCACGACCCCGTGTGTTTTTTTTTCTTCTTTAAGCAAGCTTGTTAGGAATCGTTTAGACAGTGGGTGGATCTCACTTCGCTCACCCCGAAGCGCTTGTCGGCATCCTTGTTCAGGTCCCTGGTGGTCTGGCCCTCAGCTAAGCGGTGTCCCTGACTACAGACACCTGTCTTTAACTTCCGGCCAGTCCTCACTTTGTGGATTTCACCTCCGGAGGCGGACGCCACGTGGGCCCCGACAGCCTGCCTGGCAGGCTCTGAGCGTCCCCTGGAAATGCTCTGGGGGAGGAAGGAAACGGATTCCCTCCTGCTTCTCTGGCTGAAGGGCCACGCTGGTCCCTGTCCTGTTTCCCTAAACACCAAGAGGCCTCCCTCTGATATTCTTCTAAGAGCCCACAAATTCTCAAGATGAACAGGCATATCCATAAGCGGGTATCTGATGCGACCGTCACTTACAGAAAAAATGCTTTCATCTCAACTATATATTAAGATTTTTTCCTTTTAAAAAAAAATGTCACCAAGGTCATTATTTCAAGAACAGAGATGAGTAATTGTAGACAGTGAACGCATAAAACACCAGAAAATGCAACTGCAAAGTAAATATCCAGTTTCCTCTTTGTTTTCCATAAAGATCCCTGAAAGGCATCATGCAAAAATTTTAGTAAGAACTCCTGTTCCCGTGTTGTGTTCGAGGCATCCTGTAATTTATACACTTCCTGTAATTTACATACGTCATCAAGCCCACACAATTCTATAGGAAAAAGAAAAGGTTTTTCGTGTCATTATTACAGCATTCACTTAAACGGCCACTTGAACCTTCAAGCTGGATATCCCTTTGCTCCCGTAAGCTCCCACATCTAGACAGAACGCTTACTAAGCACAATACACATGGTTCATAAATGGACCACGGATGAAAGGGCTCAGAACTGCCGGACGCACACAGGAGGCTGCTGGTTTCCAGGGCAGGAAACGTGAATGCACGCCGCTGCATCCTGTGTCGGCAGAGGCCTGGAGACGGCGTCTGCACAACGGGGCCCGGGCCACAGAATACTGGCTGCAGGGGACACGTGGGCATTTTCCGCTGCCTCCGGACAGGGACAAGGAGTCGGGCAAGACCCACCTGCCCCGGGGGTGAGTGGGACAGAGCAGCACACCGTCCACAGAGCCCTGGCTCGCCATGAAAACCACGCTCCCACTGCGCGGTGATGCACAGGATAGAGCTGGTGGCATTCCAGACACGCGCCCGGCGAGCCTCCGGACGGCGTCCTGACCACGTGCACCTGTGCTCTCACGGCGCATGCGCTGAGCAAGGCACCGAGGCTGCTAACCCGGACACCCGGCGTGAGGCATCCCCCTGAGCACGGAAACCGGGGCAAAGCACAGGCGAGCTCCGTCGGGGGGTGGGGCCTGCCAGCAATTACCGAAGCCACAAAGACGTCCCCGATGGTTTCCACGGAGTCCCAGTCAGCCACGCGGCTGGCCAGCGCAATCTGGAACATGCCGTGGCACTGCAACAGCTCTTTGATTCGGTAGAACACCACCTTCAGCTTCCTCTCGCTCAGGATCTTTGGCTCCATCTCCGACAGCGGCTTCTCGTATTGCTAACGAAGACACGCGGGAAGACGGTACAGGCTCTTTAGAGGGTGCGTTGAAAACATATGGAGACATCCCCTCACGTACGTCACGGTTCACGCAAACCCCACGACTCTTCATGTCCACACACAGACCCAACACTCAGCGTGTCCTGGGACTTCTGCCACTGCGATCACGTCATGGTTCGTGTGTGTGCGTAAACCCGCAGGTGTGCAAAAGGCCTGTGAGGCCCGAGTGTCCCCCGCGACACGACGTTTCGGTACCTCCAGAATCCTCTTCAGGGCATCCACGTAGTTCTTTTCGCTGTCGACCACTGAGCCCAGGATGTATCTTCTTACGACCTGTTGGCGGTTGGAAAAACACAGCGGTAAGCAAACTGCTGCAGAAAACAGAAATTTCACTTCTTGTGGATAAAGAACTTTCTTGCTCTGTTTCTTGGTTCTCAAAACAGGAGGCAAAGGAAACCTCCACAGGCCTCTAGGGTGCTATGAACAGTGCGTTAGCTAACGTTATAGGCACAAAACCTACTTTCCCTGTTGCCACGGTCGCGAAATAGGCCAAACCTCAAATTACAAACCATAAGGACAGCAGGACAAGTGACGTTACTGTAGGAACGTCAACAATTGTGAGCTGAAGTAACGGTATCTTCTGGGCCCTACGCTGCGTTACGGGATATTTCACATAGGACTAAAGCATGAAAAGAGCCATTCCAGTCTTGACTCAAAGAATGCTAGTAGCAGCACAGATCAAGTGAAATTATTATTGCCAAGTTGTAGAAGGAGAAACAACTTTGAAAGGTGGAAGAGTAGGGGCGCCTGGGTGGCTCAGTCATTAAGCGTCTGCCTTCAGCTCAGGTCATGATCCCAGGGTCCTGGGATCGAGCCCCGCGTCGGGCTCCCTGCTCCGCGGGAAGGCTGCTTCTCCCTCTCCCACTCCCCCTGCTTGTGTTCCTGCTCTCACTGTGTCTCTGTCAAATAAATAAATACAATCTTAAAAAAAAAAAAAAGAAAGAAAGGTGGAAGAATAGATTTTTTTGGCTCGAGAGCTTTGACCAAGCGAAGACACGCTCAGGAGGTGGGGGCGGGGGGGGGCAGCTTGTGGATTAAGGCCAGCGAGCGGCTCCCGCCTCAAACACACTGGTCACTCAAGCATGGAAATGGGGCTCTGGGCACGCGGTTCCTGTTAAAGGCCAGTGATGATGCTGGGCACTTCCATCAAGCCTAGACATATTCTGGCAAGTTATTTTTGCCAATAAATGGAAAATGAGCACAAAATTACAGTAAGATTGCCTCTAGACCACACACACCCCAGTCCCCGCCACCCCCCCAGGCCTTTGAGGAGGAGGGGAGGCTCGAGACAGGAACCACAACTCCACCCAGCGGGTGGAGACGGCATTTTCCACAGTGCAGAACATTCCAGAGCTCTGTGACTGACAAGGGAGCGACTCTCTCCACAAAAAGGACCATTCAAATTCACAAAATTAAGATAAAAACCAGTGCTTCTAGGGCAGATAAAGAGTACAGAAGGCTCTGGGGTTAAAAGAGGCCCTCGTGAGGCTGCCAGCCACCTGGCCCCATTCGTGGTCAGGAGTCTGGGCGCTCACCCCTCGCTCCACGAGGAAGGCTAGACCCCACAACCCAGTCACTCCCCAGACTAGCAGAGGGCCCATCTCCGCCATCCTTTTTCCCGAATTCAGATTCCCAGAGGCTGCACGTCTCCTCAGGCAGAAGATCTGGGGTCAAACCCAGGAAATCACAGGCATTTGTAGCAGCCCTGAGAGGACTCTGAGAGGTCAGGTCCCACGTCCTCTACACAGCTGTCCCCTACGACGTCACAGTGTCCCGCCTGCGCTCGCTAGGAGGGAGGGCCCTGCTTCCCCCAGCACCACGTCCTCAGACAAGGGGACCCAGGTCCACGTCACACTGTGTCCCCCCAGGAATGAGCACGGAGACCCCATTAGTGGACAGAGCCCCAGGCCGCACAGGAGTGGGGCAGGAGGGACGCAGGTAGAGAGACCTCAAAGGAACATCAAGGGTGTTTTCGAGAACTCAAGGCCCTTTCTCCAACTGGTGGGGCTGGAGAGCGGCGGGTGAGCCACGGCCCGGGACAGCCAGCACCGCGCCCCACAGGGATCACAGCAGCACGTGCCCAGGGAGCACCGGACGGTGCAGAGCATTTACGGGCCATCCAACTAACTGACTTAGGATTTGGGATTTTAGGTTTGGGGATCAGAGACTTGGCTCAGGCGTCGGGCCCTACTGTGCCCAGGGCAGGGCGCCACTCCCATCATCGGCCTCCTCGGAGCCGCAGCATCCTCCGTGGGACGTGCGCGCGGACATGGAGGGATATGCGAGCACTTAAAGACACCCCGCACGCCCGTCGGCATGTCCTCCTTCATTCCCGACACGCTCACAGATCAGCCATGGCCCACAGACACGCTTCCTCGTCCTGTCAGCCCTGCTGCGTGGGCCCCCCCTTCAACTCCCGTGAAACTTGAGCTTCCTAGTTTGCAGACAACAATTAACGGCCCCTGGGCATCCTCCCAACTCAGCTCTTTGTTCAGACTCTGAGCTTAGCACTGTCACCACCTTGTTCCGAGCCACGCCGCTCTCCACACGTGTCTACCTAGCGCTGTGTGTCTCCAGGACATGCGTCATGCTGACCCCATGCAGAACAACTCTCCAGGGCCCCCCAAAAGCCCCAAACCCTACTCCAAGCTCTGGTCCTCAGGCTTTCTTTCTGTTTTACCCAAAGATCATCAAATGGACACCACCGCATTTTTTTCCCTCTGCTACCTCTTTCCAGAGGCTAAGAAACTCGTTGATATCCCGCTGATTTCACCAGTTGTTGGAAATCTTTTACTCTGCATGTGAGGCACCGCATACATGCTAGTGTCTCTAGGTAAAGTCGCCCTGCCAGTAAGAACCAGTATAAATCACACCCACACACGTCTCACACTTACTCGGGGGTGATACCCAAACACACGTGGGCCAGAAAGCCCACGGCAAGGCCACAGAGGGGCCGCGAGCGGGGGATGGCAGGCGCTCGGCCGGGGGAACACAGCCACGCCAGGAAACAGCCCCCCATCCTACCTGCTGCTGAGATAGACCTTCGGGCATCGGGGTGAGGACAGCTTCTGGATGTTTGCAGTCAACATCAATAAACAAATTCTGCTCCTCTTCAAGGCAGGGTCTGTGATCTTAAAGAAAAGTCAGAATGCACTAGTTTGACCTTGAAATGATATATTCATAATATTACAGCATGGGGGAAAAAAAAATCAACGCTTCGGGCAGACACTTTGATTTTCCGTGCTTACGTTCCACCGGGCCATGATTAAATTGAAAATTTTAACAAGAAAATATCCTTTCCACCAGAGGAACACAGTGTCCATCGATACCTGAAGTTTTCAATACTTGGACGTTTAATTTCAAAAGGCAGAGGTGTCCTCTCAATACCTGGTTGGTAAGTCAGAACTAAATACTTCAATTTCTTAATCTATAAAATACCGCATTCAGAAACAAAGAAGGGCAGCTAAGAACCCTCACTCAGTAATTGACGAAAGCTAAGTGGAGACTCAGTGTATTTCTTGACTTTCTGTCTGCCTTGCTCACTGGGAAAGCAGAACTACCATCAGACCAAAACTCAACTTATCCTTAAAAACTTGGCTGTAGCTAAGTAATCCACAGAATGGCTGGAAAACAGAAAAGCAAAGGGGTTCTTAGGTAACAGGAGCCCAGAGATGTTCAAATTCCAATCTCCAAAAGCCTGGCTGCACAGAAATATTTGTGAGTAGCTTGTAAGAACCTCCCAGTGTCTACACACCCATGAGAGCGGCCCAAATCCGGAGCGCTAACCACACCACGTGCTGCGAGAGCGTGGAGCATCGGGGGCCCCCACGCACAGCTGGCAGGGTGCAGAGTGGCGCAGACGTTTTGGAGGACAGTTTGGTGCTTTCTTACAAAAGTAAACACACTCTTACCCTACAATCCAGCAATGACACTCCTTCGTATTTACCCAGAGAAGTTGAAAACTTATGTCCACATACAACCTGCAATGGATGTTTACAGCAGTTGATTCATCATTGCCAAAACCTGAAGCCACCAAGATGCCCTGCAGTAGGCGATGGACACATAAGCTGCAGTCCATCCAGACGTGGGATGGTGTTCAGCGCTACAAAGAAATAAGCCTTCAAGCCATGAACAGACGTGGGGGAGCCTTAAGGACATGTGACTAAGTGAAGGAAGCCGGTCTGAGAAGTCCACACACAGTTGGACTCCAACTCTGACAATCTGGGGAAGCAAAACCATAGACAGTGACAAGATCAGAGGCTACCAGGGGTTGTGGCGAAGGGAGGAACGAGCAGGAGGAGCACAGGCGACTTTTAGGGCCGTGAAGCTACTGTGTGTGGTACTGTAACGGTGGGTACCTGTCACTGGACTTGTGTCCAAACCCACAGAATGCACCACACTGAGAAGGAAACCACGTAAATGTACACTGTGGACTCTGGATGATGATGTGTCCGTGTGGGTTCATCAGTGGCAACAAATGCACCAAGATGGTGGGGATGCTATAGGGTTGGGGAGGCGGGGCATGGCAGGGGGATATATGGAAAATCTCTGCGCCTTCTGCTCAGTTTTGCTGTGAATCTAAAATTGATCTTAAATAACAAAGTCTTAAAAAGAGATAGAACAGAACCTTCTGGTATCCAAGGTCCCCCCCTCGGGTTTCACAGATCAGTCGCAGGGCTCCTGAGCCTGCACACATGGGAATTGTTAAATGCTCCTTCATTCACGAGTACATCCAGGTTTAAGAACCACTAATTCAGTCCCATCTTCCCATTTTATAGCTTGGGAAACTAAGGTCGTTGGGCTCAGGGAGGCACTTGACCAACTGCCGCACCCCTCTGGGGGTCCCCGCAGACCTCCTCCCCGCCCAGCCTGGGGCTTCCTGCCCATCCTGTGTGCTGGCTGCTGACCTGCAGATTCCTGTTCAGGGTCTGGGGTGGGGCCCCAAATCCCAGCCTGGGCACCTGTCAGACCTGCCCGGACGCCCCGTGAAGCAGTTCGTCCCGGGGGCGCCTGGCATGCTGCCAGTAACCCGTCAGGGCACACACTGTATCAGAACCCCGCACCCCAGCCGTCTCCTTCCCACGTAACCCACGGGGGCTCCTGACAGCCTCTTGTGCATCTTGTTTCAAGACGCTGAAGATTTCACTAGGGCTAGAATTTATACAAGACTCTAGTTCGTTTTAGCACCCAATACACACCGTCCTCCGAGACTGCTCCTTATGGAAGCGTGGTTTCACGGTGCTTTCCAGGCACAGCTATCGGCAAATGCTACGTGTGCACCAGCTCGTCTCTCAGAACACTTGTGCAAAGAACAAAGTCAAGTTTTTAAAGGAATCTGTCAGGGTCCCGGCGCCCACTCCAGGAAAGTACGCTCCCAGCCACCATGTGGGTAGCCAGCTGTCTTGTAATAATGCACCCATGTGAAGACATCTTCCCAGACGTCAGATAACCCTTGGTCCACAGCTTGTTGTCCACATGGAGCACTCCAGACACAACCTCTCTCTCTGACGTAGATTCATCATTGAATCCCTGTGCCGAGAGCCTCAGGAAACCTGAACCTTCTGGAATCATCCCAGATCTTTCCTCACCAACAAAAGCGTTCCTAAAATCCCTGCTTAGAACAAGCCCTCTTAGCCTGTGTCTTTCTGGGAAATAAATATACGCAAGAGAACCTATACTCTGTAAACAGATCATCCATTATTATGCCTTATCAAGAATAAACTTGCTGGGGCGCCTGGGTGGCTCAGTCGGGTAAGCATCAGGTCATGAACCCAGGGTCCTGGGATCAAGTCCCACGTCTGGGCCCCTGCTCGGCAGAGAGCCTGCTTCTCCCTCTCTCTCTGTCTCCACCCCCCCCCCTTTCTCTTACAAATGAATAAATAAAGCCTTAAAAAAAGAGAAAAACAATAAAGTTGCTGAGAATCCAAACTGACTGAGGTCAGATACCCAAGGGGATTTTGGGAGAGAGAACAGAGGGTGAAGCCCCCAGGGCAGGGGTTCACGAAGGGCCAGTGTGCTGAGAGACCGCAGAAAGAGAAGTGAAGTCTACCACCCACGAGAATTCACTCAACTTTCTGCTGCCCGTTGTGTGTGTGCGTGTCCATCCCTGAGCTACTGCACAGGTCCGAGCATATGCCCTCAGCTGAGAAAGCACGCCCTCCCCCCACCCGGGAGGGGAGACCCAGGCGGCCCAGCTACGTCACACCCCAGCGACGGGCATGGTGCTGGGGGGGGGTGCTCGTGACAAGCCCGCAGCTGCACTCCGCGCCACCAACATGCTGTGTGACGGACAGGTCTGCGAGCCGTGTCACACACCTGGAGCCATGAAGGACCTGGTCCGAATGAGAGAGCGGCCTCTCTTCACGGCGGCCTTTGTCTTCTCGAGCCCGTCCTTCGTACCCTCCTTGGCGGCTTTCATGAGCTTCTGCATCTGTAAGAAGAGCAGGAAACATGAGAAGTGACACCGTCGATAAAACTTCACTTGCTGCTTTCATTTTAAAAGAATACTGTCAAGTAGCTTGATCTTAAAAGGTGCCCTCAAGTTGGCTTTGTGGTTTGGGGGGGGGGGCTCCCTTGTTGCGCGTGCGTGTGCGTGTGCGTGTGCGGTTTGGGCCGTGTTTGTGTGTTTAACAAAAAAGAAGGAAGGAAGGAAAGAAAAGCGCACTTGAACAACCAGCCCTTCCTCGACCTGGGGGGTGGGGAGGCGAGGGTCTCCGGCTGCGTGTAAGGTCAGTCCCCGTCGTTCCTGGGACGGCTCTCACACACAGTGCTCTGCAGACCTCAGAGGCGGTGAATCGAGAGCACACACAGTTACGCGGCGGGCCCGGGTCACAGGGCGCACACGGGACACGGCACGACAGCCCCCCAGCTGCCTTCCTGAGATCGCCGGGGGGCAAGTCCACGGCTTACAGGGGCGCCCCCCAGCTGCCTTCCTGAGATCGCCGGGGGGGCAAGTCCACGGCTTACAGGGGCGCCCGCGGGCTGCTCGGGCCCCGCTGCAGGCTGTGGGGAGCCAGAACCGCACTTCCCACCGGACCGCCGTGTAGGGGTTCTGGTTCCCTGAACCCAGAGCCCGAGGACACACACGCACACACCAGCCGTTGGGGCTCAGAGCTGCAACGACCTGCTTTGGCTTCTTACCTCCCTTATTCTCGAAAACTCTAAGGTCTGAGGTACTGGCTATCAGGCTCCAAGGGATTCTTTTATAAAGAGAAACCCCAGATGGCCTGCTCCAGACAAACCGGCATCCGGTCCAAGGGACCCCAAACTGCCTGCCGCCCTGGTCCTCCTGCCGACTCCGCCCTGACAGCGCACGGACTTCAACCCTGCCGGTGTGTCTCGGGGCCGGATCATCAGGGCCCGGGTGCCCCCCGGGGGTGCACGCCGGTGTCGGACAGGCACCGCAGCCCTGGCTGGCCCCGTGCATCCTCCAGCCCCCCAGGCCTCCACCCAGCTGCACCCAAACCACGTCCACGCTCGCTAGCCAGGACCCTGCTCCAACGTCCGTCCACGGGGCACAGCCACCGCAGCTCCTGGGTCCTGCGTGCCCCCCTCCCCATCCTGGGGACATGCCCTTCACCACATGCGCCATCTCCCCTGCCGGCCACTGCTGGGGCCTCCACCCTACACGCCCCTCCCCCCAGGCTCGCCTGCTGCAAGGCACCTCTGCGTCGTCTCCTGACCCACCAGCTTCCCCAGACCTCATCTGCCTTAGCCCACGCCGGACCGCTAAGCCTCGATCTTCAGCCAGACCCTGACCAGGGTCTCTCAGATGAGAATCAGAGAATTGCAAAGAGACAACCAAAGAGGGCCAGCCTGCAAAGCGCCTGGTCCTCGAGCAGCGATGAAGACCCAGGTGCTGGGGAGCTGTGGTGCCTGTCCCAGATCACACAGCAGCCAGGAGACGGAGCCAGGGCTCCCGACCCACGCTACTGTCTGCTTCTTACTGGATGAAGGGGCTCTGCTTGGCCTGGCCCTAATTACTTACCGTGTCTCAGGGCTCCCTGCTTCCCAGCGCATGCTGCTCTCCCTGCCACACACCTGCTTCCAAATTCCTCCACCAAGCTGGCCTCCTTCACGCCTCCCCCGTGACCAATGACTGCACTCACGGCTCTCTGCAAAATCGCGCCAGGCCCCAGACACTCCCGTGTGACCTGCTGCCTTAGATTCGTGCACGGGAACCAGCCAGAGGCTGGGCTGAAGGAAGTGACGTGACTCCCAGAGTTTTGCTCCTGCTGTGGGAAGCCCAGGGCACAAGAACACCCCGGAATTAAGCAGGTGACTCTAACGGAAGGGAACATCTATTTTCAGTTAGACACTATTTAACACATACAAACAAATCACAAAACGTCGGAGGCACAAGAGACCTAATGGACGTGAACGTTACTTGACAGTGCCCTTTTAAAACACCTCTACGAGGACGGACCGCCACCACGTTCAAATCTAGCGGTTCTCGAACTTGCTGGTCTCAGGAGCCCTCTATACTCGTAGAAGTACCAAGGGCCCTACGAGCTCTGTTCATCTGGCTTTCACTGGTCTACGTTTACTGGATGAAGGGTTAAAATTGAGAAAAATATCAAACTTTCCTGAACATTCATTTAGAAATAATAATAAACCTGTTCTGTGTTATCCAAGTAGCGCATCCATGAAACACCACTGTATCTCCCCCCAAGATAGGTGGTGCGGTTGCGCATGTCTGGAAATCTCTCCGGCATCTCAAAGATGGCAGATCCTGCAGGCCGTGGCTGCGGTCCCACACAGCGGGGCCTCAGGGACACTCGCGTCCGCGTGTGAGCGCACGAGGGAGACAGAGGGTAAATAGCGTCTCAGATCTAATGTGAGCGCGCTACACGGGCCTTGGGGACACCTGGGAGCCCAGGACCACACTTTGAGAACCACTGTTGGGTTAAAAAGGGCCAACATGGTTGCCATGGTGCTTCTTTTAAAAGCATGGCCTGTCTCTGAATAAGCACGTTCAACGCAGCTGGTCAAAAAATGAACCACACTACCTTGAGTTCATGTCTCTGCTTTAGCTGCTGCATCTCTGTGGCTCCCACCGTGTTTGCCATCAAAGCTCTCATCTTTTTCTCATAGTGCTCCTTGAAACGGGTTAGGTCATGGGAAAGCTACAGCATAAAGAGACACAATCTTTTCACAAGGACGCTCCTTCCGGCACTTTCAGACAGTCTTACGTTGAGAGGACATGGCGGTGGTGGCGTCTGGGGGACCCCACGCCCCACGGGGAGCCCCTAGTTCTGGCCCACCAAGTCCTGAGACATAAAAATGAGGAAGTCAAACTCGTGGGGCGAGGAGGCAACTGTGGACGAGCCAGACTGGAGACATTTCTACACCAGCCTAAAGCGACTATGGGAACCAAAGGAGCTAGGACCCCATTCCCCTGCATTTGATCATTAAGATGATCCAAAATGTAAGTAAACAAGGTATAAAATTATTCTTTTGTGTCAGCACCAAGGCAGACGATACCCGAGTTCAGGACTGCCCCTACATACAGGGCGTCATGATTTGGGAATGGACAGCACACATTTTTAAGCCTCCGAACTGACATTAACGCTGGTTGTCTCAGTGGATGGGGAAGGGGAGAATCCTGCCAAACGCTGTCCACCGTGATCCCACAATCTCAGACGTGGAAACCAAGGCCTCAAGGCTTCTCCAGCAAATGCTTCCCACGTCAACTCAGGAAAAGATACTTTAAGCAAATTTTCATTAAAAATTTGGGTTTTTTTGAGTTGACTAGTCAACAACTTAAGAGTGTTCATTCAGTAGGCCGTTTTTAAATCCTGACTTAAACGAGAATGCCCGGTCCTTCCCACGGCCCTGTCTTGCCAGCCGCGCTCCCAGCTGCCCCAGGGTGCGGCCGAGCTGGGGCAAGGGAGGGAGGAGGGTGCCCAGGTGATTATCCCGCACTCGTGAGCCACCCTGTGGGCCGTTCACCCACTGGGAAGCGGCCTCTCACTCGGCATTTTGGGGAGCCTGCCCGGGAACGGAGTTCCATTCAGAGGGCGAAGAATACAGTCTTTCAGTAAGTGTGGGAGTGGCTGGTCCGTGGGCACCTGACACCCGGCCCACCAACAGAAGGAAACTGAAGAGTGTTTTAACCATTCTTCTGAGGCCCCCGCGCACGGCTCTCCAATCTCAACGTAAGCCCAGCGTGGCAGGTGCATGGGGTCAATCCGACTACGGCTTCCCTCGCCAGTTAGTCTCAGCTGTGCTGACTGCCGGCTAGGGGTCCAAGGAAAGGCTGTAATGATGTGAGGTGCTGAGGTGACCTGCACAAAGGGGTAGGGTCTTCTGGGCTTTGTGAAGCCCGTTCCCAGAGTATGAGAACACTAGGTGACCCGTAACCACTTGCAAGCTGGACACACATGGGAGCCAGAGCCAAAACCCCACCACTCTGCTCCCTGGGTGCAGGTGGGGCTGGTGATTTGCCCATACCATCACACAGGCCAGTCTCCCTGTGCCTGTGGCCTGGGGATGCTCAGCCTCACACAGAAAGCCCATGAAGCCTGCAGACACGTCGGTGAGCGTGAGCACAAATGACCCCTTTCACAAATAGCCAGAGCCCAGCAACCGGGAGCAAATAGCACAGCCACGCACCATGGAAAACCACACATCTCAGTAAGAGGATCCGCTCAACGAAAGCGCTCCTAGGTCCCACAGTCAACCACCACCCAGTTCTAGAATCCACACTCCTGATCTCTGAAGCTCCTCTTCAGACCTTGACCTCAGGGTTCACGCACAGGTGTGCACACACACACTCCACTCAGGACGGATAACTGGGCAGCTCAGGGACTCTGTCCTTCAACACCATCTGCGTCCCACAGAGACTCGACACCATCCACTCAGGCTGCATGGAAGTCGTGCCTATCTGTGCACAAACACAAATAACGCTGAGAACGGTCACTGAGGGCCTTCTGAGTGTGTCTGTAAAAACTGAATTTCCCAACCTGCTATGATTATACACACAAGGTCAAATCAGGAACCCCTTCCCTACTGCTTACACCTTCCTCACACTATGTGCCAACATCATCAAGAACACTTAAATATTACGGGGTGCAAATTTTAGAGGCCTGTTCACGTGCTACCGGAAGATATGCTGTCTCCCACACAGACTGAACACATACTTGCTTCTTGTGGCTACTGCGCAGGAAGGACCTGGGGACCCCGTTCTTGCACTCCGAGTCACTCTGTTCCTCGTAGCTTTCGAATTCACTGGAGCTCCAGCCGTATTCCAAAGAGCTGTTCCCACCTTCCTCTCCATTCTCAACGTCATCGTAAATCATCTCATCTGAGGGCAAGTGAAATAAAAAATGAAGAATTTGCTAGTTATGGTCTTGTGCATGCTTCTTGTTTCACCGTATCATGGAGAGCCGGGGGCTGGAAGCATATCAGACCTCGGGGGGCAGGCTCCCTGATAAAGGTGGTGGGCGCCACCTCCAGGATGGGCGCAGCGATGTGCACGCTGGACAGAGCACCGGTGAACCCCCAGCCCCAGGTGCATCCTGAGGGCCACTGGCCTATAAGAATCTACCAGAATTATACCAAATACCTTGTTGGCCACATGAAGATAAATGTAGGGAATATAAACAGATTAGATAAGTAGATGATAGATACATAGATGAGAGAGACATTCAAATATGACACATGGGAAGCTCACGGGAAACAAAATTTTGCCTTTGTGCTAACAATGGTCTAATAAATCTCATAACCTATTGCTGCTTTTAAAATGTTTTAATCACATCAGTCATTTCAGAATTAGTAAAGAACACGGGTCTATGTCACCAAATACACGGACAAGGGATCTTTCGTTTAAAACTTCCAAAGGCTTTAATTCCCATCTTTTACTTCATAATCTGTATTCTGCAAAAGTGAGTTCACTGAGCCGAGCTGCCTTATGGACACTCCCACGGCAAGGAGAAAGTCTTGACATTCATCACCGATTAATTAATCTGCTTCCTTTCTAATAGATGCCAAGGCCACAGATTCACAAAAAGTAATCCTGTGATACGCCTTGACTGATACAAAAAATATGCAGTGGAACAAAAAAATACAGATGGGTTTCCCATTTTCAGTGCCATGCTGCTGGTGACAGGACTTTCTGAGAATGAAATGTCATTCTACAAACTTCCAGGATATCAGTGTCTCTCTGATTTCTATTACTTGTTAAACAAATGAGCATCAAATTTCAGATGAACTTTCTCAAGTATAAATGACTTAAGAGTAATTTCTGCTTAAATTATCACCGAAGGACAGTACAAAGTGTCCACTTACCTCTGAGGTGTGCATCCATCTAAAGGCATATGCACCCTAGCTCTGTGTGTCTTGTTTTTTGCTCATTGCTTTTGAGTGTGTGTGACTGAAAGTGTGTGTGTGCATTTATACATACACACATCATTTATTCATTTTTAACTGCAGTGTAATGCTCCATTGTATAAATTCACTGCCATATGTGGATCCTTTCCCCAAGTGTGGAGCCACTACGTTTCCCCACATCTTTTGCTCTTTACAAAGAGTGCCGCAGAGGGGCATCCCTGCACCCGTCTCCCTGAAGCAGGCATGAATTTCTCCAGGAAACACACCTGCCAGGAGACCACTGGTTTGTATTACCATCTGCACTTTAGCTAGGTCTTTAACTAAAGTGTTTTTTCAAAATGATTGTGCCACCAAGGCATTTAACAAGCAAAGAGCAAAGGGCCAGAGGGGACCAGGAGCCCTTGTGATCCTAACAAGGGAGGGTCCTGGCTGATATGTGAGTGAAAGCATACACGCCATACACATCAGCACCCTGCAGGGCACTGTCCTCACAGGGACACCGCTGGCTCTACCCAGGATGGCTGTCACCTTTGGTAGGGAGACTACTGGAAGAACTTTTGTTGTTGTTTTGGTGTTGGAGGCCTCAGATCACCCCGTCTGGGTTGGGAAGGGCCTACCTGGTAGCATAAATTACCCAAAAATAAATTTCAAGCTTGTTTTTTTACAGAAACCAGTCTTTCATTCCCACTTTATTTGCAGCATGCATGCATTTAAATAAATACCTGGAAGCACATTCCTTCATACGTACTTCGGTTTTATTTATGAAGGGATGTAAATGTTAAGTGTGTCTCCCTCAGTATAGGAATCTTGAGGGCAGGGACTGCTCTGTTAGCTGAACCTAGATCAGTGCTCAGTATGTAACAGCGTCCAAACGCATTGTGGAATAAATAAATTACCAAGTGCTTTTAACTCTTTATAATTTAGTACACTGGATGTAGATTATGAGAACACGTCCTTTATTAGGCTGAGGACATTTCCTTCTATTATGAGGGTTTAACACTGAATGGCCATTGAATCTTATCAAGTGCATTTTAAGTATCTATTGAGATGAGTGTAAGGTTTATGTCCTTTAGTCTGTTCCTGGGGAAAGGATGGTAAAAGAACCTGCTAATATTAAGGGATCCATAAACTCCTGAGAAAAATCCAAAGGGTTAAGGTTGGCTTTTGCTTGTTTGTTGGGATACTACTGGATTTTATTTCTTTACATTTTCATTACGATGTTCAGCATCACACCTTTGGGGAAGGGGGTTATAAGCTTATCCTAAGACCCTAAAGTGAGTTACCCGCTCCTGCCTTGTACTATCCACTGGAACTATGTGTAGAGCAGAGGGACTGTCTGTCCACTGACAGTTTAGCCACTCTGAGCTGAGGACCCTGGTCTTAGCGGGCGTTCTGGCACATTAGTTAAGCAATTAATTCTAAATCAGGAATCATTATGCATTAATGCTTTCTACCTCAGATGCAGTCCAAGTGTTTCAGCTGATTGATATCCAGTTGTTTCTAGAATCCCTTCATAGTGTTTATGGGTTTCTACTGCAGTTTCTTGCTCCTGATCCATTTTTCCTTCCCTCCTTCCTTCTGTCTCCTCCCAATAATATCCTTTCTTCCCAACACTACCAGAGGCTTCTCTATTTTCGTATTATTTTTAGAGAACTGCTCTTTGGTTCTGTTGATACTTTCCATTGTTTCTTTGTTTTGTTTATCACTTTTACTGTTACCATTTTTATTTCCTTCTATTTTCTCAGTTTACTCCGCTATTCATTAATATAACTGAGTTGGATGCTGGCTCATTATTTTTCCATCTTCTTTTATTAACAAATGCCACTGTGTCTATAATTATTGTAAATCTATCCCATAAGAATTTATGTTATGTTTTCATTATTATTCAAGTCAAAATATTCCTAATTTCCATTCTCCTTTCAGCCTTGTCTAAGAGCTAGGTATTAGTATTATTTTTTAATACTCAAATGTTCCTTTTATTGATTTTTTTTAAAATCAAGGGAATGAGGCCTGAATACTAATTCTTTGGCATTTGTTAATATTTGCTTCGAGAAATGCTATATAATTTTTATAAATATTCCATATGTTTGAAAAGAAGTACATTCTGAAACTATTAGCTGCAGGGTTCTATATATGGTCTTTAGGTTGATTGTATACTGTGTTCTTCTGCAGTTTACTAATTTTACATCCAGAATCTATGACCGTGGAAGGAGCTTTCTTAAAAACTCCCACTCCTTTGCAAATGACACTACAGATAAAGGGCTAGTATCCAAGATCTATAAAGAACTTCTCAAACTCAACACCCAAAAAACAAATAATCAAATCAAAAAATGGGCAGAAGACATGAAAAGACACTTCTCTGAAGACATACAGATGGCTAAAAGACACATGAAAAAATGTTCATCATCATCAGCCATCAGGGAAATTCAAATCAAAACCATATTGAGATACCACCTTACACCAGTCAGAATAGCAAAAATGGACAGGGAAAGAAACAACAAATGCTGGAGAGGTTGTGGAGAAAGGGGAACCCTCTTACAGTGTTGGTGGGAATGCAAGTTGGTACAGCCACTTTGGAAAACAGTGTGGAGGTGCCTCAAAAATTTAAAAATAGAGCTACCCTATGACCCAGCAATTGTACTCCTGGGTATTTACCCCAAAGACACAGATGTAGTGAAAAGAAGGGCCATATGCACCCCAATGTTCACAGCAGCAATGTCCACAATAACCAAACTGTGGAAAGAGCCGAGATGCCCTTCAACAGATGATGGATGAAGAAGATGTGGTCCATATATACAATGGAATATTACTCAGCCGTCAGAAAGGATGAATACCCAACTTCTATATCAACATGGATGGGACTGGAGGAGATGATGCTCAGTGAAATAAGTCAAGCACAGAAAGTCAATTATCACATGGTTTCACTTGTTTGTGGAACATAAGGAACAGCCTGGAGAATATTAGGAGAAGGAAGGGAAAAATGAAGGGGGGGGACACCGGAGGGAGAGATGAACCATGAGAGACGATGGACTCCGAGAAACAAACTGAGGGTTCTAGAGGGGAGGGGGTGGGGGATGGGTTAGCCCGGTGATGGGTATTAAGGAGGGCACGTACTGCATGGAGCACTGGGTGTTGTACGAAAACAATGGATCGTGGATCACTACATCAAAAACTAATGATGTATTGTATGGTGACTAACATAACATAATAAAAATTAAAAAAAAAAACTCCCACTCCAATTATGTACTCAACTATTGCTGATTATATCTCAGTCATATTTTGCTCTATATATCTGGAGACTGTCTTGTTAGGTGCACACAAGTTTAGAACTGTCACAGTTCTCTCTTGTGAAGGACTCTATGCCTAATATTTTATAGCCTAACATTCAATATATTAGAGTAATACTGGCTATATTTTGGTTGGAATTGGCCTCATATTTCTTTTTCCATCCATTTACTTACAAATGTTTTGTATCCTTATATAGCTCTCATAAAAATATATGCCTAGCTCTGTTATTTTACCCAACCTGAGAATTTCTTTTATGGGCAATTGGACTCAGTTTATATTTACTATATAGAAATATACTTGGACTAATTTTGCCATCTTTTTTCATATTATTTGCCAAACTTTCTTATTTTACATTTTCTTGCTTCTTCCACCCAGATTGGGTTTTTCTCTACTGGGTTGGAAGTTAAATAATCTATTTCTATTCTTTTAGTGGTTGCCCATAAATGCAGAGCCAACCTATCACAGGAAAAAACACACAATCATTATTTATATCCTTTTCCTGAAAAATACACAGACATTAGACACGGAGGGTCAACCACCCCCCAGATGCCAGGTGCAACTGTCTAGGGCCTCAGCCCCACCCTGCAGTCACACTTGTGAAATCAAACAATACTGTTAGTGCCGCCTCAATCAATGCTTGCTTAGATTCATTCACAAAGTCATTATTTGCTCTCTGTTCTTCCTGCAGCCTATTAGGTTCAGTACCCTTTTCCTTGAAATGCAACGTGAAATAGATTTTAGAGTCTGAGTGGTAAATCTCCCCAATCCTTATCTGATATTGCCTTTGTCTCCCTCTTTTTAAACACCTGTGTTTTGGTATTAGTGGACTGCGTTGTGCTCAGCGGTTTCAAGTGTATGTGCTATGGATTCAGGCTTGAGCCTGCTTTGATTTTGTATTTCTATAATCTGAGAACTTACATCATTCTTTAATTCTGGAAAAGTATTAGTACTTCCTTCTTCTATTTTCTCATTTAAATCATTTATTATATATATGCTGGTACTTACAGCTTCCACTTTTTTACCTTTCCATTCATATTTTTCACATCTTTAACTCTTTCTGCTTCTTTATATTAATCAATGCTTGTTTAGATTCATTCAAGTGCTATAATACAACCACACACACCTATGTGCACAGACCAATATTCCACCCCGTGATATCAATGAGACGCTACACAATATACAAACCACGAACATAAAACATATAAGCTGTGTATTAGGGATTGTGTGCACACTAACTAGTCATTTTTTACACCCAGAAGGAAACACTGATAAACCGAATCCTCTAAAACTCAATTACAAACAATTCAAACCTGGTTCAGAGTCTGAATTTTCTCTTGGCACGTCATCATAAATGGCTTCTTCTGGATCTGGAATAAAAAGAGGGAAATGTTAAAAACCGACCAACACCAGCCAAGTATAATTTATGTTGTTTTTAGGACCACAGTCTCCTATGATGCTACAATTATTCAAAAAATTAGTTTGTAAGGGCTAATTCGTGATACCTTACCAAAGCATAAGCATTACTTTTGGGACAGGATGTTTTCTTGGGATTGAAGCATGACACTCTACATGAACCAGCTGTGAAATCTCTCCAACAGGGAGTTTTGTGGTTTCTAGGTCAATTTAGTCCATTATTTTGTGTTCACCTATGCATCTCCATGTGGCTCTTTATAAGTATTTTTAAGTTTATGAAGTTAATGTGTTCCAATATGCAAAAAATACAAAGGTGGTGTACATAGTTTCCAAATAAAGGGAAAGCTCAAGTGGGGCCATATTAAAAGGAACCTGGGAAAATAAACCCATTATTCCATGGTACTCTGAACCAGTGGATAGGAAAAGTAGGCTTAGGCGAGGGTGAGAATGTTCACCTGCTGGGATAAAATCTCTCCCACTGTATAATGTGGAACATTCACGTCCTCTGAAATGGAACAAGTTTTCTTAAGAAAAAGTGAAGATCCTCCACGGGCAAACTCCTCAGGGTATACTGTCTGAGAAGGTCATGTTTAAGAGCAGTGGTGAAAACAGAAATGCATTTAAGTATTTGTAAGAGTTGAGGCCTCACATCGAAATCAACCACACTACAAAGTCACTGGTGACTAAGCAACAAGAAAATGAGGTAAATACACTGAACTCTTCCTCTGACACTGAGCCACTGTTACATTACCGGGGGGGGGGGGGGGGAATTCGGATCGCTCCTCATTCTCTTGCTGCTGTCAAGCCCCCACGTGACAGATGTCTGCTTCCTTGTTACAATATTGACTGCAACCACGACGAACATGTCTACTCCTGTTAGATAGAGCGAGGGATGCTCGTCTGTGGACCCCTGAAAACCACAGCTGTGAACTGCACAAGCCCACTTACGTGCAGATTCGTCTTTGATGTCTGCAGTACATACTGCAAATGTATTTTCACGTATTTATGATTTTTCTAATATCATTTTCTTTTCTTTTTTTTTTTTTTAAAGATTTTATTTATTTATTTATTTATTCATGAGAGACAGAGAGAGAGAGAGAGAGAAGCAGAGGGAGAAGCAGGCTCCCAAGGAGCAGGGAGCCCGATGCGGGACTCGATCCCAGGACCCTGGGATCATGACCTGAGCCGAAGGCAGACACTTAACCATCTGAGCCACCCAGGCGCCCCTCATTTTCTTTTCTCTAGATTACTTTACTGTAAGAATGCAGTATATAACACATACATAAAATATGGGTTAGTTGACTGTGTATGTGATCCGGAAGGCTTCCGGTCAACAGGAGGCTATTAGTGGTTAAGTTTTTGGGGAGTCAAAAGTTATACCCAGATTTTTTACTGTGGTAGGGGTCACCACCCCTAACCTGTGCGTTATTCTAATTAACTGCCACTTACATAATAAAACAAGTAATGGGGGAAAGTCAGACAAATTTTACTTTGGAAATAAATTTTCTAGAGAATTGGAAAATGTTAATTTCATCCCGTAATGCTCCCAATTTAGCAGCCCCCTGGCAGAATCATCTACTTATGCTAAGTTCCTTGCTTGACAAGGTCATAATAAAATCCAGAATGACACATTCCAGGAGATAATTTAATAATTAGGAGACAGTTAAGATGATTCTTTCTTGGAAGTCAATCACGTAAAATAATTATACAGAAATCAGTGAGCCAGTGGATAATAAAGAGGTAATTAGAAAAGCCATCTTACTTTTCTTTAAAAATTAAAAATCAAATCTGGTTAAAAATAGCTCAGCTTTCTAAACCACACGTGGAACAGAAGATCTGGTATGCCATCTGGACAGTGGGCTGGCTTAACCAGCCACCCACCCCCTTTGCAAAATTTTAACATGAAAAAGCATCTTTGTGAGAATCCCAAGGAAAAATACCTGGTTGATGTCTCAGTGGTGACTTGCTGACTATGGGCCTGGGTCAAAGCATCAGTTCCCCAAATAGAGGACTATCATGACAAAACCCAAACACCGTATGAGGAAGAAACAATGAGGAACAAATACGTGCTAGGATGGGGTGAGCAGAGATGTTCCAAAGGGATCTAAAAGAAGGGCTACAGAGAGTACAGGGGACAGCAGTGACACAGTCAGCCCTGGTCTGTACGTGAGGTAAATGAATACGTTTCTAAAGTGTTCGATCTGAACGGGACATGAGAATAATCAGCAGAACCTGACAAAAACACACGCCACGCCCCCCCCCACCCCGGGGTGGCATCCACACAGAGCCCGGCGAGGATCCTGGGATGGCCCCGCCAGGTTCCCGGGGGCGTGCGGTACCTACTCTCCATCCACGCAGTGTTGGCTGGGTCCGCAACCCACCGAGCGAGCGCACTGTCCTCCTTGTGCACCCGGTCGTCACTAGGAGAAAACAAACCACAAAATCACAACAGTGGAATGCTTCCTGTCATGAGACCGCTGGAGGTCCCCAAAGGGTGTATCTGCTTCACCGTATGCACATTTCATGTTTTCCCCAGATATGATGATGGATGTTCTGAGCTGAGCACCGTGTCTTCTGAACTGCTGCCCATGCGTTTTACAGTATGACAAGCCTGCTCACATCCACAGTCTGGACCTGTGTAGAAGGACCGAAGCCCGGGATTCCCACCATACATTCAGGGCACCCTGTGAAATCAACACTTAAGAGTTAAGCTTTTGAAAAGCTAGTGATCTCTGCTCCACTCTCATCTAGTAAGTGACAGGTCTGGTGACCTTGCTCTGTATCTACAGGGGCAGAGGACACCCTCCCCCGGCTCACTGCTCACCTGCCCTGGTCCTGGGATGCATACGGGATAGGTCTGGTGACCAGGCTGCCTTTGTGTGGGGGTACCGGAACTGTGCCTTCCATCAAAGTCACCCTGGGGTGTTCACTCCCCCAAATCGGTCACCGGGAGGCTGAGGGAGCCACCAGCAGACACGTGCAGGAGGCTTCTGCCCCCTCATTCAGCAGGTCTAATCTGCACGTTCCCAATTTAACACCCAGCTGCGGCTTCTCAACACAGAGCCCAAGTTCAAGCTTCCATTCCCTGCTATTTACGATGCTTTTGAAGGCCCACTGAAAGCATGGCACAGGACCTGGCATGACAAATACAAGAAGACATGAAGTCCCTGCTCGGGAAGACCTGAACTGGCTTCCAGTTCTCCACCAGACCTTCTTAAGGGTCTGTTAGGCGTCACACATGGTGCCAGGCAGAAAGTCACACCAGAGTGACTGACGGGCCTTCACCACCTATAATCTTTAAAAATGGAAAATAAGTTTGGTGATCTTACGAAGAAATCAGAACTTGTACATTGCTGATGGGAATGTAGAATGGCACAGCCCCTGTGGAAGACAGTGTGCTGGTCCTCAAAAAGTTAAATATAGCCTCACCACAAGATCCAGCAGTACCACTCCGAGGTTAGAGCCAAAGGGGTAGGGAGCAAGGACTCAGATGCTGTACGCCGGCAATTCCCAGCAGCCTTATTCACAAGAGCCCGAAGGTGGAGACCACCCAAGTGCCCATCGAGAGGTCAATATGGACTCACAAAGGATTATTATTCAGGCTTGAAGAGGAAGGCAATCCCGACACATCCTACAACATGGGGGAGCCTTGCAAACATGACGCAAAGTGAAATAAGCCAGACACAAAAGGACAACTACCAGGATTCCAATTATATGAGTTAGCTAGAGTAGGCAAGCTCGCAGAGATGGAACGCAGAGAAGAGATTCTCTGGGGCTGTGCCGGGAATGCTAGATTACCACAGAATGGACAGTTTCTGTTTGAGAAGATGAAAAATTCTGAAAGTAAATAGTAGTGATGGTTATACAATACATGTAAATGCACAAGCTGTCACTACACGTTATACTTAGAACGGCTAAAATGGCTAAATTTTCTGTTATATAGATTTTAACTATAAATTTTAAAAACAATTTTAAAACATGATGCAATGCACCAAAACCCACAGGGCAGTACACTTGAAACAGGCGTGGTGTGTGGATTATACCTCAATACGGCTGCCCAGTATCAACACACAGGCACACATACCATGCTACAACCCTTGGTAAACCTGGTCTTTAACTTCGTAAAATTCTTACCCAGCAGCAGAAGGGGCACAGGAAATAACAGCGAGAGCACATAGCAATCAGTTTTAATGCAGGTGTGCTCACAGAGTTCTGGAAGAATGAAATGAGACATGTAGGCATGGTTCTGGAATGGAAGTAGCAGTTCGCCTGGAAGATGGGATTTTCCTGGGCATCTCAAGCAGGTGACATAGCATTTTTGAAGGCAAGTGGCATGAAAGAAAGATCTACAATCAAATCAGTTTGGAGGATTCTGGATGAAAGGTGGGTTAGACACACTGAACCCCCCCCCCACCTGCCACCACAGGATTCTGAGACCCTCTACGATGCTAAAGCACATGGAGCGTCAGCTACACGGAGCCTGAGGAGGGCTGTGTCTTCCCTGGTCTACCTGCCTGTGCCTTCAGATGGCCTGTCTTTCCACAGAACAAGATGAACACCTTGCAGAGTCCTTGTTTTCCAGAGCACCCATGAGGGTACAGAAGACAGAGCTGTCCAGGGCCTGGGAAGGGAGGGTCTTGGGCTGGGGACATGCCTGGTCGGTCACCACCTCTCAGCACTGAGGGCGGGCAGGCCAGCACCTCGTATCACTGTGTTCCACATCTCAGGGAAGGGTCATGAACTCAGAGCACGTGGGAAAAATAGAGATACCTGTTCGTTGGATCCTCAGAACTTAAAGAATTAAACTGACCGTCTTCTGTTACCTCTTGTGTTTCTGTGAGGAAAGAAAAAAATTCACACGGTTTTAGTCTTAGGGAAAAGTATTTAGGAAGTGGATTTTTAGCCTTAAAATGGTTTTATATTTTTTTCAATGATAAGCTTAGCATAAAAATGATTAGTTGATAGATTTAGAGTTTTTTCAGGTTTTAGGTAAGATGTATGTAAAATAGGATGACAGTAAAAACAATATCCAAAGATCCTCTAAAATAGCTGGAATTAAAATGGTGACCCAAGGAAAGCAAGCTAGAGGGACAAACCTATTTCTCTCATTCTTAACTTTTTCATGGAAATTTACAATTGTGATTTATTGGAAAGTGTCTAAATGGCAGCCCCCAAAGATTCTCAAGGGATAAAGAGTTATGTTCATGATACCTGACAACCAGCCTTTCATATACTCATACACGCATACACACACACGTGTGTGCACACTCACACACGCTCACAAAGTCCGTCACGTGTGTCCCGGCCGATGGCTGTTCTCCCACCTCTGGGTTTGGTTCAACGAGAGGGTGATGAGCTCAGGACAACAGGCCACATGCTCAACCAAAGACCGGTTGGTAATGGCTACACTGGGGAACTGTCCATAAAAAGCCTTTAAGGAAGAATCCATTGTGTGTTACTGTCCACGAAAGCTGGGAGATTTCACCCACAAAAATGGTCCCCTGATCCCGCTAAATACCAACAAATACCCTTCCGCAGTAGTGGGGAGCTCCCTGGCAGTGCAGCGGAGACCATAGAGACACGAACTCATTGCATTCTCAAGGCCACTCAACGGTAGGCATCTGCCAAGGACCACATGTCAGGTCAGGGGCAGGGCCAGCATTTGAACTCAAACCTGCCCCCTTCCAAAGACTGCTCTTCCTGCCACATCACACTGCCCTAAAGAATGATCGACGGGGCCTCCCAAAAAGACAAAGCTATTCGACAAAGTCGTTGAAGAAAGGACATGAATCGGCAGCAAGCACACTTCACACCGTGAGATTTTCCCTGCAGCTGGGTCAAGGGCACCACTCCCCATCCCTGAATGCATACCACCCAGGCCTCGTCTCGACTGCCTGCCCAAAACAACACTTTCTTTCTCTGGGCTCCCCCTTTCAAGAAAGGAGATGCACCCCGATTTACTGTCTGCTCAGACACAAGACCTTTGATAAGGGGAGGTCAGGAGAGGATGACCGTACTCAGAAGTTCTCTCTCTGGCAACACCAGCTGCTCATCTCTTATTGTTCTGGAAAGATCTGGAAGCTCGTGCTAAGGAGCAGAGCACCATGAGTTTCTGGCCATTGGAGGACCACTAACGAACAGAAGGGGAATCTTGGAATCTTTTTTTCAAAACAGGTCTTGGGCAGTGGGGAAGAGAAGGGGTTCTGGCGGTTCCTGTATCTGAGGGTCGTGTTCCAGGTGGGGCGGCCTCCGTGCTGGGCAGCCTTGCCCTTGTAGAGCCAAGAGGCCCGCCATGTCCACGGGAGAACCACAAGGTGCAAAGAAGCTGGTCAGCACATGGCAGGCCACCAGCGCAGGTCCAGGCCTTGGACGCCAGCCTCACACCGTACTCCAGGCTTTCCTCATGACCCCAGCAAAGACGCCAGTGCCTGTTTGTCTTTAAAGGCTCAAGAGACAAACATAGACCCGTGTTCCTGGATCTGGGGCCTTACAGTAGTGTTCACTATGATAGGGTTTTATTAATAGGTCTAGGATGACAGCACAAAAATAGGCCAGTGGTTTATAACTATACTGAATTACTTAAAAATAACGTTGATTAAAAATAACCAAATGATCTGAAAATAAGCAAATTACTTTAATATAAGAATGCGTTCCTTAATCTTTTTTTAACTGCATAATCTACTTCCTTATTTTTAGATCATTCTTACTCTTTGGGTTACAAAATACGAACAGCATTGTTGATCGTGGTAAATTTCCAAGATTACTGCCAATTACCACAGGAAAACATATGGGGAAACATCCACCCTGAGAACCTCGTGTGGTTTTCCCAATATAAATTCAAGATTTTCTTTAAACACTTTTTGTCTCCCTTGTGATTAAGTGGGAGGGAAAGAACCCGTTTTCCTGAAATCTCATGTAGTCAGAGTTACGACTCTGGGTCAGGGGCCTCTCGCCCCCACTTCGCCCCGTGGCGTGTCCTGGCACACACAGCACAGAGGTCAGGCAGGGAGAAAACTCAGCAGGGCCGCGTTCACGGGGTCCGTCCTGAGTAGAACTCACGGCGCTTCGCTAAGGGGGGGACAGTGTCGTGCTCTCGGCAGCCCCCAGACGCCTGGGCCCGCAGCATGGGGTTGCAGGTGCCCATGGCCTCAGCCGGGAACAGCTGCACCGGCACCTGTGTCTGGTCCACTCTGGCGACTAACTGAACACCAGGCACCACTGGTCTTACGAACAAGATGTCTATCGCCTGTGATGTGCAGGGAGGAGGCGCACCTTCCCCGTGCAGGGACGTGGCACGGATGACGACGGGGCTGGAGTAGGCCGGCAGGAGCAGTGGCAGGTTGCAGGGCACGGCGTAGCCGCAGGGAACGGGCACCGAGTACCCACTGGGCACAGGCAGGCTCATGCTGTCGTCCTCAGGGCCCGGGTCTGCGGGCGGGGACTGCTCTTCCTGGAAGGGCGTGATGTCGATGACGGAGTAGGGGTTGACTCTCGTTGGGACCTCATGGGTGGTGGGTTCTGCCGGGGCGTCTGTGTCTGCTCCCATCCCAACTTCACCTCCTGGAGGCAAACACGGACGCATCAACGGGGGGCCACTGCCGACCGGCCCTCCTGGGTCGGGGGTGAGGAGGAGGTGGTGAGCCCCCTGGGGCCCATGCAACCCCAGGGCACCCAGGAAATGCCCCCATCTGGGGGTTCTGAGGGAAGCCCCTGCCTCTGGGGCATCAGAGGGGCGAGGCAGCCCGTGGCGGGAGGTGGGGCACCCGGGGCCTCTGCACCGAGATGAGCAGGGTGAGAAGCTGCCTGAACTCAGGGAGCTGCTAACGACGCGGAGAGGCTGCTGTGAGGGCCGAAGACACACCAGGTGCGCGCCCCTCCTGGTTGGGGAATCCCAGCAGACGACCCCACCTCCAAGAGCTAACGTGGACCTAATTCATCCCACAGTGTTAGTTCTGGAACTGCCTCACGGCATCCGCCGAGACTGGGGGGCCGTGTTCATTAGGTATCGACGACACCCACCACCTCCAACACACACGGAGGGGAAGCAGAAATAAAGGAAAGTCAGCCAATTCAAATCCGCCATTCGGTTCACATCACAGACAGGTCAGGAACGTCCGCTCCTGGAGGCCGATGGTGCCTCCCACCCCCACTGGCTGTCAGAGCGAGGGGGCCGTGCGCCGCGTGGGCTGGTGGCCGCGGGGGACCCACCTGAGCCGGAGGTGGCGTCTGCGCCCACAGCCTGCCGATCTGCCTCTGGGATCTCGTCTCCGCTGTCAAAGTCGAACTGCTCCCCCTCGTCCTCCTCATTGCCATATGTCACCGCGTTGTCTGCAGGTTGAAAGAACACCAGTTAGGCCAGCAGGACAGACACAAGCGCTCACTTTCAGCAACAAAGGACGTCTGGGGGGGGGGGGGGAGGGGAAAAGGGGGAAGATGAAGGGAAAATCCGGAAACAGGGGAGCCCACGATAGAAAGTTCAACTTCAATATGGAACGGACGTGGCTCACGCCCCACGGGTCCCCAGCCCCGTGGGGTTCCATCCACGCCATCTGACCGGCAAAGCACATCGCCACCCAAAGGTAGGGGACATCGTGACCGCTGCCCACGCCAGGCCCACCTCCGGGCCCCTCCTGCCCCAGGTCCCTGGGTGAGGTTGTGTGTGGAACAGCGCGGAGGGTGCTCGGACTCACGGACATCACCAAGGGGGCCTCAGGTTGGCATGAGGAGGGGCGTCTGAGACGGGCCATCTGGGGACTTGTCCACAGAGATGAGGCCCATACCCCCCCATGCTTGGCTCACAAAGTGGGGGGCAGATGGACAGATGCCCGGTCATCCCGTGAGAGGTCACAGGCCCAGGCTAGGGAGCTGGGGCATGGGACAGAGGACGACATGCAGGGGAGAGCACGGGAGGGAGGAGCCTCTTCTGCCTCACTGCACCCCAACACGAGGGCATAAAGTCAGAACATGGAAAACCCCCTCTTCTATTATAAGACGTTAGGTATTCTAATGATCTCTGATTATTTCCTGAAGGTAGACAGTTCATGGTAGAGTTTGTGAGATGAAGGAGATACAAAATTAGAAGGGATTAGAAGAATTGAAGACCCTTATCTACCAGTGCAAAACTCCCTGCTGGTGACTGTGCTCAGACAAATCACAAAATATCACAACAAACCAGTCACTTTCTAGGGAGAAGCTCTGGTCAGTTAAGGTTATGTTCCCGCACGCTCACGGGAGGGGCCCCTCTCGCAGGACTGAGGGACCTCAGACCCTACAGGTATCTAGGGTGGCTCCCTTATGAAATAATGGGCACTAAGGAGAGGAAAAAAAATGATCTGCTGAGAGACATGACCTGAAGGTTAGCATGAGCCAAAATCGCTCACTTTGCCAGCAGACCACCAGGCCCTAGGGTGACGGGCCACAGGAGGCAGCTCCCGGGTTTGGGGGCACCTGCTCAGAGGGGCTCGAGGCACAAAGAGCTCCAGAGTCCTACGGAGGCTGTGGAGGGATCTGCTGGGACAGGCACCCACTGCCCCAGGCCGGTTCCCTTCCAGATGGTTCCACTCCGACTCGCTAGCCAAACAGCTGGTTTCAAAAGGCACCTTCGGGAAACGGAGGGATTTGAATGCAGTTATCTTAGAACTGAAGGCGCGTAAACAGGATCAGAGGCCAGCCTCAGAGTGGTGTTTCTTAGGGGTGAGGTAATGGAGACATCAGGGACCCTGCCCTCCACACCCCTATGCTGAGGCTGCAGGGCCCCCCTTCCCTGCTCTGCCCCCGGGGCTGGGGTCCAGGTGGGTTCCTGGGATGGCCTGGGCCTCGGAGAGGGTGGTAAGGGGGTTCCATCCCCGGGGTCAGGGTGGGTGTGGGATGAGGCCAGGCGGGGCTGTCCCAGCACAATGGTGGGTGGTCTCTGCCCCTCCAGCTCTGCTCAGAACCCCCCGAGCACCCCTCGATCCCAGGCCAGGGCCTGGGTCAGCAAGAGCCAAGCAGCGCAGGTGCCGAGCAGGCTACAGAGACAACGTTCCACGGCCTCCAGCAGTTCATGAGCCGGGGGGTGACTGGGGGGCGGGACAGTCAGAATTGGGGGTTTAGAGGTGGAGTAATTTCTAGGGAGGGAAGTTGACAGACGTGTATCAATGCTGGAGTCAGTCTAGAAACTGTCTTTCCAGCTGGGGCCTCGCTGTCTAGACGAACCTCTGATGGTCCAAAAAGAAAAACTGGTTTTAAGTACCAGGTGTTTATTTTTTCCTTGAATCTTCGGAAACAGCAATACATTCTAACAGGTCCTTCTAAAGAAGCACTTTTTTTTTTATCAGCAATGAGTAATGGAGAGTTCAGGCTCATCCCTGCGACGGGGCAGGCAGGAGGGGCTTCTCAGCCGGGACAGCCACGTCCACGGCACACGTGGGACCCCAAGCAGCATTCTGGGACAACTTCAGCCCAATTTATGCTAAAAGCATGACAGTGGCAAATACTGAAATGGAATCAAGAAAAGGTTCAAAAAAAAAGACGTTTCTAAAACATGTAATTCTGATAAGAGTGTGCATCAGTGACCCTCTGGATGGTAGGTTGCCAGTATTCACCACAGCCTTCTAATTTTGTATCTCCTTCATCTCAGAAACTCTACCATGAACTGTCTACCTTCAGGAAATAATCAGAGATCATTAGAATACCTAACATCTTATAACAGAATACAGATTTCCCACATTACGACACATTTATACAGTGAAATACTACTGAAACCATTAAAATTATTTTGAAGTTTATTCAGTAATTTGGAAAGAGATTTCTGATATACTAATAGTGTTTTTAATTGGCCCTTTCACACTCATTTAATAGAAAATAACAAATACTGGCAAGCACTGGAGAAACTGGAACCCCGGTGCACGGCTGGTGGGAACGTGCTCTGGAGCAGCTGGTGTGGACACGGTACGGAGGCCCCTCAACACATTCAACACGGAACTCCCCTACGGCCCAAGTCCCTGCTTCTAGGTATTCACGTGGAAGAATGAAAAGCAGGCACTCAAGCAGATGCTTGTACGCCCATACACATGTGCAAGCATACGAGCATGCAACCACACCCACACGTGTAACCATACAAGTGTGCGACCACACAACTGTGCAAGTGTACCAGCATGCAGCCATACATGTGTGCAACCATATGAATGTGCTACCACGAGTACAACCACATGTGTGCAACGGTACACATGTGTAACTGTATGAGTATGCAACCACACGTGTGCAAGTGTACCGGTGTGCAGCCATACGTGTGCGCAACCGTATGAATGTGCTACATGAGTGCAACCACATGTGTGCAACTGTACACATGTGCAACCCTACAAGTATGCAACCACATGTGTGCAAGTGTACCAGCGTGCAGCCATACTTGTGTGCAACCGTATGAATGTGCTACCACACGAGAGTGCAACCATATGTGTGCAACTGTACGCATGTGCAACTGTATGAGTGTGCAACCGCACGTGTGCAAGTGTACCAGCGTGCTGCCATATGTGTGTGCAACCGTATGGATGTGCCACCACACGAGAGTGCGACCATACGCGTGCAACTGTACACGTGCAACCGTGCGAGTGTGCAACCACAGGTGTGCGAGTGTACCAGCATGCAGCCATGCATGCGTGTGATTGTACAGGTGTGCAACCATACGAGTGTACAGCCATACACGTGTGACCGTACGAGTGTGCAACCACCCACGTGTGCAACCATACAAGCAGCATTATTCACAACAGCCAAGGGGCAGACACAATCTCAGGGTCCCCACACAGATGGAAGGATAAATAAAATGTGGGCGATACAGACAACAGGGGCACAGTCTTGAAACGGACAAATCCTGGCCCCTGCTATGACACGGACGAGGCCACTGCACCGAGTGAAACGCACCCATGACCAAGGGGTGGACACGGTGCTACTCCACTCACAGAAGGTAGGATGGTGGACATGGGGGCTGGGCAGGGGATGGGGTGAGAGTCTACGGGGGACAGAGATTCGGCGTGGGAAGACGGAAAGTTCTGGAGATGGAGGGTGGCGTGAATGGGCTTCATGCTGCTTAACTGGACACTGAAAGATGGCTGGAGTGGTAAATGGTAGGTGTATTTCACAATAAAACAATCAGAAACCCTTGGTTTTAGTCATCTAATCCCTTTCACACACAGACCAAAATACGACCCGAGGTGCTCTCGGGGCAGAGGACGGGCATTTTCTTCTCCGTGCTCCTGTGCTTTACAAACTTCCTACCACAAGTACATTTCCTGTCTGTTTCATGGCCATTTCTGGCTTAAGCAATTCGACTTGGCAGTCTGAATTTGTGGAGCACATCAATCCTCTGAGGTTCGTATTTAATAAAGACACGGATATGACTCACCTGTTTCCTGCAAGTGAGGAGAGTTTACAAGTAAAACCACCAGACAATGGACTGGAGTCGGGGGTGGACAGGACCTCTGTCCCCACGCGTCGGTCACAGCGGCTCATGTACTGTCCAACCAACGCTGGCCGCGTGCCAGGCGACGGGAAAATCATCGTAGTTTGGGTTTTTGGCTTTATCAGTAAGTAGTGAGCTTATTCACAGAAACGAACTGGTCAACCCGTCTTGGGGCAATAAATCTCTTCAATGGAAAAACCAAAACCGACAGAACGTTTTCCAAATACAACTGTGACCATTTTCTGTAGACTCCTGTTTGCCAGATTAACACGGCAGGGAAATAACAACACACGACCCAAAATGACAGGGGGTGAAGGGGTGAGAGGGGGGAAGAAGCTGATGGTCTGACTTAGCCACGTAAAAATCACGCCGTGCACGCGTCTCACTCTGCACAGCAGAGACTCGGAATCACATGCTGGCTCTTCCCTCTGTCAACCCTCTTCCTGGAAGTTATATTCTATTACTGGGGAACATTAAGAATTAGATAAAATACACCTAAAAGTGACCTGTAAACACCGCTTTTAAAAAAGCCTGACGGGGGCGCCTGGGTGGCTCGGTTGGTTAAGCGACTGCCTTCGGCTCAGGTCATGACCCTGGAGTCCCGCATCGGGCTCCCTGCTCAGCAGGGAGTCTGCTTCTCCCTCTGACACTCTTCCCTCTCATGCTCTCTCTCTCTCAATAAGTAAATTTTAAAAGTCTTTTAAAAAAATTAAAAAAAAGCCTGACAACATCGGGCACCACGGGACCTAACCCTGGGTTGCCCCATGCAAGGAGAAAGGGATTCCTGTTTAACATGTTCAGGAAGGAAAGTGGGCGGCAAGGAGTTGGGCTCTGAGAGACACAGGCCTGTGGCCCTGTCCGTGGTATTTGGCATGGCTGCCTGAGTGGACTCCTCCTTGAGGGACCCTCTTGCTTCTGCCCCCCCAACAGCATTCCAGTGTAACCGACACCCTCCCCATGGGAGGCCAGGCCTGCCTGTGGCCTTGGTCTTCATTGGCACAAAACCCAGCATCCACGTCAGACCTCCTGCCAGAGCTCTGGAGTCACATCCAAAGAGCTCTGCTTGGATTTCCACGAGGCCCCTCCAACTCAGCCATGCCTCCGTCCCTCTCCATCCCTGCACGCTCCCCTCTGGGGTGAGAGATCCCCATGGCAGGAACCTCAGGACCGCCCCCCCCCAGGCCCTGGCCTACTGCAGTGCCATGAACTAACCCACAGAGAAATCCCTTTGCTTCAAGCACCCAGGGATCTCCCCTTCCCGACCTCCTGCTGCGTTCCTGGATGAAACCACACAGGCGCCAGGCACCACCCGCTCTCCATCCTTCCAGGCGCCTCCAGATCTTGGGCCGTGCCTCAGATTCCCTGGATTCCTTGGAGAGCCCTGAGCCTGCCCTGGGTGACCCTGGAGCCCCGAGATTGCTGCTTCATGGTCTGTCTCCCACAAGGGGGGAGACAATGTCTGGTGTGCATCCGTGTGTCCCGGCGTACCACACAGGCTCCCACCCATGGCCCTCCAGGCAGAGGAGCCCAGCCCTCCGACTCAGACCCCATGCCAGGCTGGCCTTCTGGTCAACGCCCCGACAACGATCTTGTCAGCAAGCACAGCACCAGGGATGTGGTCTGACCTACGACCTCCCTCCTTCTGCAACTGAGTCCCACCTGCCTCAGTCTAGCAGCAAACTGCACCACTGAGGTCAGCATGCTTCCAAGGAAAAGAGAGTTCACACTGGATCTCTTAGGGGTCAAGAAGGTCTTAGTCTCTCCCCCAACTGCAACAAAAGCTAAGTCACTACAGGCCACAATGTTACACTTCCCACTGGGAGGGATGTAAATGTTCAGCAGGGTCCTAAGGAGCAGAGAGAGGGAGGGAGGGAGACACCGCCTACCCCATCGCTCCTGGCACACATCGGTCTACACAACTGACACAGAGCCTGGGCTCAGGATGGGCAGGCTGGGGTCGCTCACCCCTCAGGGGGACAGGGGCTCCAGGGCTCAGGGACACGCTGAGAGGGGGAAGGGGAGGCTGCCCCTCCCAGGTCATCCCCTCCTTGAGCAGACAGCCCTCCAGGACTGCTGAAAAGCCCCCAACAGTTTTGAAAGCCATGCCATGGAGGAACTAAGACACTGAGGGAAAAAGAATAAGAGAATACTCGTTTTTAAGCTCAGAGATAAAGGCGACACATTTTGTCCCTGGGGCCATTAAGACCACATCTATTATAAAGTAAAAGCTTAATCCAAGATAAGATGTTTCTCTCATTTCTAAAGGAGGATATTTGTGCCTTCTTCCTTATTATTGGAAAAGAAGAAGAAAAGTGCTTTGCAAAGCTGCAGGGGCAAACAGCTCCCCCAACAAGGGGCTATTCACGGCCGCGTCCTTGTCGGCCTCCTCCTGGCTCTGGACGTCCCTGGGGTGGTGGCTGCCTGTGAACAGCGGTGTCCCCAGAACAATGCCACCCCTCACAGCCTGACGCCCCCCACCCTCCGCACACGGCTTCTGTTCCCTGTGCTTTGTTGGAGCCCGACCCGTCGTCAGCAGGGGAAGGCACCCGGCTGTGGGTGCATCCACGTTCCTACGGCAATGGGGCAATGGAGGGCTTCTCCTTCCCTACCACAGCGGCGGGGGGGGGGGGGGGGTGTAATTTACCTATGAATTCCAGAAAGGCACCAGGAGACTGCGGGGTTCGGACCTATCGTGGAGCATCTCCTGATAGGATTCAGGATCCTTAAGGCCCGTGGCACCTTCTCACGGACCCGCCGAGCGCCTGCAGCAGTCACCACACCGCCTGGTCCAGACCTCGCACAAACCTGCAGGTCGGGGTCGCCACTCCTGTGGACAGGGGGACTGAAGCCCAGGGAGGCCGCCTACCCGCTCACGCCCCTGCCCCACAGCCCGGCCCCTGCACAGGCAGAAAATGTCTACAAGAAATACGAAGAGCAGAGCACCAATCTCAGGGAACAAGGACTGTGTCCACGTGGTGCCAGCAAGACAGACCTGGTCCTTCCTGACCCTTCCCTGCATCCAAGGGCAGCTGTGAGCAGACGCTTTAATGATGGGGAGCTTATAATTAAAGTATCACTGACTCGCCCCAAAGCGACGCCAGGCCATGTGCCCATCACAAACGGTCACAAGAGCTAACCGCCCAGACCGTCGTGAGGTATCAGCACCTCAGTTCTGAACTATGCAGCTTGCTGTCCAAGTTGCCCTTGGACAGAGTCACAGGCCACACCGCACATCAGCCCACAGACACGGGGACCTTCTCCACGCTGTAAGGACTGCTGGCCATGTCCCCAGAGCTGCCAGGACCGTCCCAGCTCCCAGAGGACACCTCCCGGGGGAACCAAGAACAGGGGTCCACGGAGGGGACTTCTTCCACCCCCCTGCCACCCAGGGCCAGCTCCCAGCTGAGAGGGCCTGCGGCCGAGCCCGTGGACAGCCCTTGGACCAGCTGGGGCCCCACAGTGGCAGGCCTCGCTGGTCGGCCTGCTCGTGACCCTGAGCACACAGAACAGGGTGGGTGAGCGTGCGGTGCCGAAGGGGACAGCGTGGGCGTGCAGGGAAGACAGGATGCCCTCTCCCCAGCCCCTTGACTACCCTTTTGTCCCAGCTCTGGGGGCCTTCGCCCTCTGAGCCTGGTCCTTCTTCCCCACTCGGAGGTACAGGCGACAGATAAAGACGTGCAGGTTTTCAGGAGCACAGCGGAGGATCTGAGACTCGTGGACACCGTGAACCAGCCGCCCCAACCGGGCTGCCCACCATCCACCCCACACACAAGCACTGTCCTCCACCCGCCCTCGTCCTGTGGTGAGAGCACGTGGGATCTCCCCTCCGGGCGTGCTCCAAGTGAACAGCCACCCTGCCTTCCCGTCACAACCTGCTCCCGCTGACCCCTGCTCGCGGCCCCCTGGGGCCAGGACTCCAGGTCCCAACGCCTCCCCGGGGCTCATGCACACCCGCCAAAACCCCAGCCACTTGGCCGCGACCCTTCCCTGACCCAGACCACGTGCAGAGGTGTGTCTGCCAGGCGAAGCCCGCGGGCAGAGAGCTGCTCCTACAGATCTGCAGGGTGTCACTGTCGAAGCCACGTCATGCACGGGACCGGCCCCAGCCAGCTCTAGACGCTGCCGGCAGCAAACACCGGGACACACTGAATAAGAGAAGGGCCGGTTTAATTCCCTTGGAAAGAGCAGACAAGTCGGGGTGGAAAAGAGCCGGCATCCACCATCAGATTCTGAACATGTCGTGTATCCCCCATATTCCTAACAACAGAGCTGCAGAAAGGGCTTCCGCGCCCTTTCGTTTGCCAGCTTCTCTCCAACAACGGTCAGGAGCCACACCCGGAGCCCCGCCCTGACCTCCACCATCGCTGCGCCGGGGATGCTACGTGGTCAGGCTCCCTAACACAGGACCCAGGGTACCAGCCCCGGACGGCAGCCTCACGGCACGTCCGGCCTATGCCCACACCTTCGGTGAGGCACGCTGGGTGAGCCAGCTCAGCGTTCATGGGAGGACCCCAGGAGCACACCCCACATGAAAGGAAGGAGAGCAGGGAGCGGTGCTGGTGTCCGTTTCAATGAAAATCGTCAAAGGAAGATCTAGCCTGGAAGAATCTAAGTGTCACCACCTCACACGTGGGTGAAACATGCAGCAGGAAGTCACCCAGAGCCCTCCCAACCAGACCCCACTGGCTGTGGCCCGAGGAGGGGAGCCGGCCTGCCCAAAGGTGCCCCGCAGAAGCCGGCGCGTGGTGGCCTTGCGCGATTCCCGGGGCGCCCTCCAGCACGCCACCCTCACCTCGGGGCTCACGGCTCCTGGAAACTCTGGCTGAAGGCACGCAGGGGCCCCTTTCAACCATGGGGCCAGCTCACCACTGGGCTCTCCTGGAGGTGATCCATGCTGACCCAGCACAAGCAGGAGATGCATCCCTTGGCCTGGGCCCGGACTCCCTTAAGGATCGGTCCTACTGGCATGCTGCCTTCCTTCTGCTCCAGCTACAAGCTCAGGGCCCAGACCACCACCACCAGCACAAGGAGAAGGAATGGAAAGCTCTGACCCTGCATGGGTCCCTTCCAGACTCTGTGGCTTTCTGACCCTCGGGTCCTACGGCCTCCAGGTGTGCGGGGGACACGCGAGTCTGTCCAGGGCAGCATGTCCAGGGAAGGCCTGGGTGACGGGAGCCCTGAGCAGGCCGTGCCCTGCGAGCCGGGAGTGATACCACCAGGCTCTTCGATGTGCCACTGTGGTCTCCCCAGCAGTGGCTTAGTTCTGGCCAGCGGACAGGACAGGCCTCCCCCACGGTCCTCACATACAGAGCAGCTAGACAAAGAAGGTCTGCGCTTTCCCTGAGCGAGCCAAGGGCGGAGGGAGGCAGACCCGGAAACCGCCCTACTGTTCCACCTGCCAGCGCCTGGAGTGGCCAAGGAGCCCATGTGTAGTCTCTCAAATACGAGGTCCACCCTTCCTCATCACCAGGTGGGCCCGTGATGGGTCAGGAGGAGGCGGACCTCACAGATTGTGCTGGCGCATGCCCCTCAGGGACGCCCAGGGCCCGACAGGTGGCTCAGCCAGGTCACCCCGAAGTGAGGGAGGGGCGCTGGGCAGGCGGGGGCTCAGAGCTCCACCTCCTCGGGACCCGTGGGCAGACCCTCCCCTTCTCCCCGAGGGCACCCCAGGTGGGAAAGAGCCCCCGCAAGACGCCCGTTACCTTTGGGAGCGGGGGCGGGTGGCTCTGGCTGGTCCATGGCGCAGCTCCGGAAACCTCACTCCTTGGACCCCTGCAGAAGGAAGGACACCGCGGTCACCGTGGGTAGAGGGGCTGTGTCAGCTCCACGGGGCACTCAGCTCCAGTCACGGCACTCACTGAAGGACAGGCACCCACCCCTCGAAGGCTGTCCACTGTCCCCTGAAATCACGCCTCTGAGCACACAGAGTCCCCAGGGGCCTGACTTCCCGAGGTTGCGGCGGGAGTTCCCTCCATACCTGGGCTCGCTGGCGGACCCCCCGCCCCCGGCCGCCCAGCCCTGCATGTTGGTCCAGGGAAGAAAGGAGCCCTAGGTCAGACGGCTGACCTTCTTCAGCTTCGGACGAACAACTCAGTGCCCGGGGTCATAGACCGGCCGGTGGTCCCTTAAGCCTTCAGTCCCTAAACTCTGGGGTCTAGGCCAGGTCTCTGCACACTTGGCTTTTTTCCTTCTCTTTTTTTGCACTTTTTGTTTCCCTATGTGCTTTCAGAAGAGAACAAAGCCTGAGAATGAGTGTGAAACCAGCCACATCGTGAAGATGTTCGCCCCGGCTCGCAAGGAGGCCACCTCCTGCCCCCAGCTCCCCCGTTCACGAGGGCTTACGGCATCGGACACCTGCCCGCTTCCAGCACAACGGCCGGGTGAAAAGCAAACGCCCAGGCCCCGAGGCAGCGAGGACAGCACCTCGGGCGGGCACAGCAGGGACCACGCAGCCCAGCCCTGCCCACGGCACGCAGGAGAACAAGCTCTGGGTCCTCCCCCGCCGCCCCGTGCCGAAGGGATGCTGGCGAGAGCACCGACGGGGGCCGCGCACCACCCCTGCCCGAGCATCTCCATGTTGTGCTCCAGGCCTATCCGCTGGCTCCATCCCATCCCACCGCAGTGACACGGTGCCCACACTAGCTTCAAAAGGGAGAAACCGAGGCATGGGGGGCTTCCAGGAACCCACCCAGGGGGAGACCCAGGACAAACGGGCGCACACGCTGGGGCTGCACGCCTGCTCCCTGCTCCCCTGCAGGCCACAGAGAGCCCCGGAGGGTCCCGCGTCTCTGGGCACAAGTGGCTCACCAGGAGCGCGGGGACAACAGGGGGGCCCGGCCTCAGCTGCCGCAGGGGTGAAGCATCCAAACGCAGGGGATCAGGACGGGGCCTGGCGCGCAGGGGGCACCCGGTAGATGGCACTGGGCGCTGGTCCATCCGTCATCTGTGCCACCACGCCCACCCCCAGCCCTCTCCAGAGATTCACTAGGACAGATGCTCCGTCGGCAGAGTTCACCCTCCTAGACAGACTCGCGCGGACCACAGCGGTCACGGGGGGAAACTGCGCAGGTGTTCCCCGAGAAGCTGCGGCGGCCTCAGGCTTGCATGACCTGGTCCACAGGGAGAGGGACACAGGCACGGAGACCCTGACACCGAACCCCACGCCCACCGCTCCACGTCAGCCAGCGAACGCCCCACCAACGTCCACCGCATTCAAGGCTCCGAGCACGTGGTCTGCAGGGGTCACAGCCTGCATGGACACACACACGCTCTGCCTGACCACCCAGCACGGACGTGGGACGGGCCGCCTCTTCTGGGGCAGCAGGCGGCGGCAAGGACAGGGCACCTGCTGCAGAGACCGTGCAGGCCCCAGAGCGGCACGGAGGGGAGCGCCTTCTCCTGCCACGTCGTCTCCCAAGGAACAGAGTCAAAAAGGCCCCAACACTTACACGTCCTACAGGTGAGCTTGCAAATGTGACATGGACCCAGGCCAGCAATGACGTGATGCAACGCACACGAGCGCATCCAGGATGCTGGGGGTTCTTGCCGATGCTGGTCACACAAGGAAACGCCCGGCTGGCCCCCACACTGGATCTGGCCCCTCCTGGCCAGTGTGGCCAGACCCCACAGGCACAGCGGGGAACAGGAAAGAGGCAAACATATCCGCAGGAAGAGGGGACAATGGATTCCACAGTCGCGAGCGGAAGTGAGGAAAGAAGGGAAACTGGTATTTTTAGCAACCCGAGAGGTGAGGACCGGCGTGTGCAGCTACTCGACAGTCTCGCTACAGACCAGGGGTGCAGACATTCTGCACTTTGAGCTGCATGGACAACATCCCCAAGTTAACAGAGCCCCAGGGAGCCAGAGGGGTCTTTGGGCTTTCGGGCAAAGCTTTCTACTGGGTCTGATCTCAGCACAGGTTCTGCTCGTGTGTGAGGCCAGCTGGAGGCACGGCCACAAAGAGACATCCTTCCTGTCGGGGGCCAAAGTGGTGGCGTTTCTGCCTGGAGCTCCTCCAGGAGGAGCTAGGACGCAGCCACCAGCCATGAGGCTCTTCCTGTCTGAACACAAGTCTCCTCTCTCCTCCCACTGTTTACTCGTCTCCAACACTTTCTTTTCAAACCACAGAGTACAAATTTCATTAATGCTAATTGTACTTAAAATGCAGAAGAACAGAGTCCAACTGAGTGCTCCTTTTCCCACTGACTCGGGCACAACACGAAAGATGCCACTGGAGGTTGTGCTACTGAGGGCCCACCCCGCAGAAGGCCTGCGGCTCCCACTCAGGGGCCCCTGTGCACCTGACTGGTTCTGGGGCCAGCTCGGGGCTTGCTTCGCCACGTGGCCAAGCGGGGACTGGAACCCGGCCTCTGGAGCCACGCTCTGTGTTCTGGATCACCCATGAGGGTTCCAGCAGATCACAGCATGCTCTGGGATGGTTTTCTCCCAAATTCAGCATCCACGGGAAGCCATGCTCCTGAGAAGGACCCTTTCCAGGCGGCCAACCCGAAAACACGCAATTCTGCTTCCAGATTTCAGAGGCCTGCGTGCACTCCCCCTGACAGCCTGCTTGGCACCACAGATGTGACCTGCACCCCTGGGCCCTTTAGGCCACACCGAAAACTCTGCTTCCCCTGTAGCCAAATGGGTGCCGAACCCACATCTGTGCACCATCATCTGGTGGTGCCTGACCCTTGGCGCCCTCCCCGGGGACCCTCTGAGCGGGGCTGCAGCCTGCTCTGCCCAAAGACTGACCTTGGACAGAGGACAAGACTCGCTTACACAACACTGTCCTCCGGCGGACGGCAGCATGACATAATTCCAGTCTGGGCTGTGTTACTGTGGTCACTTTCCAATTCAAGCATCCTAATGAAAGATTGCACTGTGCACCCAGGTCGCGGTTTTAAACAAAAAGATGACGTGTTCCGGGTGCCTGGGTGGCTCAGTTGGTTAAGCGACTGCCTTCGGCTCAGGTCATGATCCTGGAGTCCCGGGATCGAGTCCCACATCGGGCTCCCTGCTCAGCAGGGAGTCTGCTTCTCCCTCTGACCCTCTTCCCTCTCGTGCTATCTCTCATTCTCTCTCTCTCTCAAATAAATAAATAAAATCTTAAAAAAAAAAAAAGATGACGTGTTCCGTCAGAGCAGTGGTCCAGGGGCGAGCCCTGCGGGACGATTTTGCAGGACATGACCAGAGGCTGGGTGGCTCCACATCACAAGATAGTTTCCGAGGCCAGGGCAGCCACTCAACACCCCGGATCACTTTTCGTGCTTTCTGCCACATCACAGAAACAGACGAGAACCTCAGCTCCCGTGGCATTTCTTTGCACCTGCACCATCTGTGGAGATGGGCAAGGTGAGCACCAGGGCACGTGTGCAGAAGGGTGCTGAGGCTCAGGAGGACAGATGCTTCTCGCACCTGTGGCCACAGCAACGCTCGGAGTTCTGGAATCTGAGGATGGCAGGACACTCACAACCAAGGTCCCTTCCACTGAGAAGCAGCAGAAAGAATAAGCAGCAGAGGGCTGGAGGCCTGGACTCTGGGGACACCCTGCTCTCCTGACCCCTCCCAGCTAGACAAAGCTCTGCAGATCGTGCCTCAGCATCCTCAGCTGTGCAACCCACCTGCAGGGGGACCAGCTGCAGGGCTGCTGGGGGTGAGATGACCCTGTCCCTGAGGTGGGGGCAGTGCCCTGGAGGAGACGTGCTCACCGCACAGCAGGCTCAGTTCTGCTGAGGGCACAGCCTCTCATGAACTGTGGGCACTGGGGTGGCTCCCAAACATCCACTCCACCAGCCTCCCCACAATCTGAGTTGCACAAAGACGGGTAGCAGGCGGATCTGCGCCCGGCCCAGATCCGTCTGAGCCCACCACCACCGACTGTGCGAGAACCAGAGGACCCACCACAGCGTGTCAGAGGCACGCAGCGCCCGGCCTCCCAGCCAAAGGGGCTGGCTCAGCATCAGCGTGGAAACTGGCTGGAGCAGGGGGCCTCAGGGCCCTCATGCGTAAGGGCAGAAGACCCCAAGGACAGAGCCCAGGGATAGGGGGACAGAGCGCTGGACGCTGAGCAATCAGTGTGAGCCAGGAAAGCCCGAGTGCCCGCGGCAGGTGTGCTCCGTTTGGGACTGCCTCTGGATGGACGTGACATCAGTCAGGCTCTCCCCCAACAGAGACCATGAAGGGACAAGGAAAAGCCACAAGATCTTGCTGGAATGGCACCGTCTAAGTTTAATCAAATTCCACGGCAGCCCAAATGCACCAACCTCCTGCACGGAACGTCTTCAGTTAAGGTAATGCTGACAAAAGCAAGAAAGATAAAGAAAGAGAATCTTCCCGCCCGCTTGCAGGGAACTCAGCTGTCTGGGACTTCTAGCCTGTGATCACCTGGATTTTACTGGTGGGGCCGCCGCGAGGCATCGTCACTATGGCTGCGCAGGGCTGACACCAATCCCGAGGTCTCTTCCCCTCTTTCACTCACTGGCCCCAGAACACAAAAAAATTGAAAGAGAAGCAAATTTATTCTGTTAGTGCCTACTAGAAAACCTCTGGCCATCAGCAGCTTAGCAGCTCTCTCCCAAACAGCCCGCGTCCAGGGAATCAGGGTGAGGCCCCCCAAGGACACGCTCCTCCAGCCAGAGGCTTGGCCGCCGCATCCCATCTGCTGTGCCCAGCTCTCCACCCCGCACCTTCCTGCTGGCCTCCTACCTGCAGCCACATGGACCAGGTCTCCTGGGCGCCCCGCCTCCTGCACTCCCCCCTCCCCTGCAAAC